GGGACCCCTTGGCTCACAGGTCCCTAAGACGCAGCCCCAGGCTTGGCACATGCTGGCATTCCCAGGCTTTTGAGAACAGGGTGATGGAGCAGGGAGCTCCCCAGAGACAGGTTATACAGAGTGTAGAATATGTTTGAATAAGGCTTTGGTACAGCACCAATTTAATGTTCTTATAGTTTGATTTCTATGTTATCTTTTAGAAGAAAAAAAAAAGCTTACTGAAAAAATAGTTTTTATTTACTTTTGAGTTACATACCTGAAGTTCAAAAAGTAAGCCTCTAGTTGCCATCAAATTCACACAGAGAGGTGTTCTGTGCACAGCTGTACAATTTGTTGGTTTGTCTTTAATTTGGAACCAAAGTCAGCCAACCAATATCACAAAGTCAGCTGCCCATGGTAACTGACTGTAACCAATCCATACATACAGAGAAGACATAAAGAGAGAGAACACAAAAGCCACCCCTAAATCTCCCACCCCAAATCCCTAGAGGAAAAAAAAAACTCATAGAAGATAAAATACAGCAAGATCTAAGGGACCAGTAGGACAAAAGCAGTTCTGTCCAGCTGGCATCTTCAGGAACAGCACCAAAAAGCACCCTAGCGCAGTGATGTTGTAATACTCAACATTCAAGAAATGAAAATGAGGTTTGAATGGTCTTTACAAGAAGATCTGGCATGGATGGGAGAACCCCCCAAAAAAGTTGAGCAAGGAATAAAAGTTCGAAATGAGAGCAAGAAATCTCATGACGAAACCAATAGTCTTTTCCAGACTTGTTAGAAAAGAAGAAATAAAAGCAAGAGGCTGCCAAGCATCTGGAGGTATGGAGTTGGTAAGGGGTCTTGGGGAAGAAGCATTGGGAGCTCCTTCCTCCACACCATCTCTTCATCCCCACCCTCTGTGTCTATAGACCACAGGGTGACAGGAGGAAAGAAATTCACATCAAAATGACCTCCAGGTATGCAATGTAAGAAATATATCCAGATGATACAGTCCTTCCTGGTGGAAGAGATAAAGTTGATGATAAAAGAGGCCAAAAGTTACTGACAGGAAGCAGGATGTAGCCCCTTCATGTCAACAAGTTGGACAAGAACAAGCAACCAGGGAAAGTGAACCCCATCTACACCTTCAATCTCTGGTCCCACAAATGGCAGACAGAAAACAAAATCTGAATGGAGCTTTAAAACTTTCTTATACTGATGTATATGAACTTAGTAAATGGAGTGTTATATCAACCATTTCCCCATCTAACACCTCAGTCTAAAAATTTTAGCATGAAGATCTTCCATAAAGCTACCCTTCCCAGTCCCTGGATTCAACATTAGTAGTTTACTAAACAGGAGAGACCCCACACATTCCAGTATCATGATGAATTCCTCATGGAGAGAAAGTGAGCCATGTGTAGGCTCACCTGTTCTTCCACATCGTACACTGATATTGCCCAAAGTGGTTCAATATGAACAAAGAGGAGTGGGAGGGCCCAGCCAAAGCCAAGGAGAAATGGACAAGCCCCTCTTCTCCAAGCTCCTGGTTGATGACAATGCGAAGACAGATTCCACCCTGGTCCCTGGGACAGCAATTCTCAGCAGTCTACTCCACAGTCTTATTCCACACAGTAGACAGAGGTAGCAAAACTACAACTCTATAAAGATTTTTCCCCACCTCCTTCTCAAAGAGAAAGCACCAAAATTCAGTATCCCTTCTGTATCCTGGGGACCAAGAAGAAAGTCACAAGCACATGGAGGAACTCAGAGTCCTGAAAGCAGCTGTAGGTCTCAAAGGCCTCATCAGAGCACCTCTCCCACCTACCATTCCAATTAACTGAGGGGTTCAAAGACAAGACATCCTGCTTACTCCATATATAATCAGATCTCAATCCCTTTTGTTCCAAGAAACGGGAGATTGATACTGTACTTAGCAGTCTTTTCTTCTCTAATGCCCACCCCTTGCACCATCTTGCTGAGGGCTGTGTCAAGGAAAGGACATAGGTAACACATTCTCTCCAGGCTCTAAAATTGCAATTATCTTCTCTATTTTCCCCAAAATGAAGGGTCCTAGTTGACATTGAGGAATGGGATGGAAATGTACAGACTCCCAATCTCATGTACCTTGGTGCTACTGAGGTTTCTAAGGATCAAGCATTTGGCTCAATGTAGAAAGAGCAGAGTATTGTAGGAGCCCTGGGGCCTCATGGAGTATGAGCCCTCTAAGGTGCTCGTGAGCTGAAGTGATTGACTCTGCTGGTGACATACAACCACAAGTAGGAGAGAGTCTATAGAGAAGAAGAGGTGGGCTCTAAGAGCCAAAAGAATAGTAATGGAAATCCTTCTTTGGTAGCTCAGGAGAGGTTGCAACCTGCGAAGGGACATAGAATTTGCTGCTCTTCCACTTGCTCAACCTCCCAGAAAAATCTTACAAGAAACATCTTGCTGTGTACTCCTTAAGCCTCCTGAGGAGATTACAGGAAAGACTGGTCACCTGCAAAGATGGACCCAGTATCAGAGCCCTTCCAATATTATTGGAGAGAGCCAATTTTCCTGCAGTATCTTTGAAAAACAGGAAGTATTTTGAGCAGATAACCCCAGAAAGCCAAGAACAATGCCCTCATGAATGACAGGGTCACATAAGGTCTAGGATCAGGATTTAGACTCAAGCTTCTCACCAACCCACTCTTCCCATAATACCCCCAAGTAAATAAAGAGCCTTTCCCATGGTGGAGGCATTTGAATTCCTCTAATGATCAAACTCCATAGACAGAGCTCTTAGATAGCATAACATTTGGTTGAGAAAGAGGGGTTAGTATTGCCCTTTTTGAGTGACAAGCAGGAGTAAGAGCTGAGAGATTGCAGTTGAGTCTCTCCTGGCTGCATGCACCATCTGGCACTGCACCAGCTTCAAACACATCCCTGTGAGTTCTTGGCAAGTCAGATGGACGAGCAAGCACCTAGGAGATGCTGGCAGTGGTTACAAGACATATGGCCTTGCAGGGTGTGTGAGGTCTTGCATTCTCAAAGAGGCATTCTTCAGGTCACACAGTTTCCTATTCAAACACAAACGAACTCCTGCTCCATTCTTGATCATATTCTTTCAAAAACACTGTTCAGTTTTTTAAGTCCCAGGCTGAGTGCAGAAGGAGATCCTCCTAGGACCCATCTTTCCAGTTTTGCCCCAAATTAATCTCCCATTCCTGATCCTCCACTTGTCCTAGGATTGGAGCACCCCATTTCCAATGGCACTTTATTTTCCAATTAAAAATAAATGAAAACAGGAGAGATGACATATCTATACTAGATAATCACATTCACACTTGTTCCAAGAATCTATAGCAATAATTATCAGGGTGTCTCTTCATCAAGACTGAGCCCAAGCTGTCAGCCTCACAATCTCTCTTACCACCATACCCTCCAAGAACTGCTAAGCCCAGGTGCTATAAACTGAAACAGGTGTTAACTCTAAGTCCCTAGATAATCTCAAACTCCCACTTTCCAAGCTACTAAGCTGAATTCCTTCCATGGAACTGGGTACCAACCCATAGCCACACAGGGATGGAATCACAGTTTCCAACTCTCCATCATTCTTACTATATATCAAACACCCCTTTCAAATAGTTCAAATCAGTGTCCCCTCCAGTAGCAAGAGACATGTGGATCTGGATTCCCTACAGCTATTAGATCTAATATATCCTACAACTGTCAACTCACCTGTCCTTTCTGAGAGTTCTTTGTTTTGTTATTTTAAAGTTTGTTTCACAAATACATATTTCCATCAGAGAGACCCAAGAAACTCTGAACAGACAGTGTATCTCAGGAAAGATGGAGAAGAGGTGTCATCAGGCATGAGCTAGTACCCCAGACCACCTGGGGATAGTGATACTGCTCAAAGCATCTCTAAGCACAGGTACAAAAATAAAGCAAACTATGACTGCATATAGGTATATAGATATGTAGATAAGATAGACAGATATACTTTATATAGGTTTTCTTCATATTTATATATGTGTGCAGAGGGCATGAGTCCCCACTCATCCTGCCCAGCTTGCATTTCTTGCCCACCCACTCCCAACTCCCCACATGGACCACTTGCCTGAAGTTTCCACTGTTAGTCACCACTATTGCATCTGATTCTTGCCCACCCCCCCACGTAAGCTCCCCTCTCTCCTTAAAATAGAACAAGTTTTATATATTTATATAATTTTATATACAATCTCCATAAAAAATACACTTAAGATAGTGTATTACTAATTTGACCCTCCTACCCAAAATAAAAGTTGTCTAGCAAAGAAAAAGCCAACCAAAAAGAGTGTCTCCTAGGCCTGATGCTACTCAGGCAAAGCAGTGTGTTTCTATAAATCTATTACACACACATACAACATGCATACATACATGCACCACACACACATCCCATATCACCCACACCATACTATATACACATACATACAACACACTTGCAGATACCATACATGCCACAAACACACATCGAACATATAGATACCATGTATACACTACACACTCATACACACCACACAATCATTGCACACCCCATCACACTTACTTCCTGAATCCAGGAAACGAACACTGAAATAGAGAACAGGAAGATAACCTGGTACCTGCAGAGAGACAGGTGAGGTAATCCAACTTCTCTGACCTAGTCAGGACAATGTCAACTCATGACAGGCTTATCATTGTTCATGGAAGTCACTATAAATATTCACTGATAGAATGATTGACAGTTTCCCTTCCACGGATAGCAAGATGACCATTCATTCCCCTCCATCAGATAAAAGGTTCCATAAGTCCCTAAGTCAAAAAGAAGCAAAATGTCCCTATGCCCTCATCACCAGAATGAGGAGCATCAAGCATTTGCCCCTACCATCTACTTATGTGAAGATCCCACATGGTGCCCAAAAGCATGCTTGCAGTATTTCTAAGGCTGCAAATGCAAATTCCCCTCCCCAGCCCAACCCCTGTGCCCTCCCCAATTCCTTTCCCCACCCAACCACCTCCCTATCATAAACCATGCACAATTTCAAGATCCCTGGAGCCACATAGAAGTGGGGGACAGAAGGAAAGGGAACCTAATTGATGTGTATAAGAGGTAGAGAGGGACAGTTTGCCCTAGTTCCTAAAATAAATCCAAGAAACCTAGTACCAGGAGGAGATGGGATTGGTAGGGAACATTTCTTCAAGACCCTGAAGAAAAACAGGCTGGATAGTCATTCATGTCACCATTAAGTAGGATGAAAAAGGTAGACAACCAAAAGACCAAGGATGGGACCTGAGAAATTGTACCATACTAGTTGAATTTCTCAAACTAGCTTTCCCAGCAAGTGGTCCAAGTCAGACAACTATGTCATCAGCTCTCTTCAGAATCCCAACTACTGCCACTGACCCACTACAGAAGAGAATGTCCAAGTGATTTCAATGACCATTTGCTATTCTACCAAAGTACTTAGTGATTGAGATATCCTGACTCTTCTTCCCCTAAGCCATGCCAGCCATTAACAATATTTCACTAATGCTTAATTTTCCTTATCCTACACAGAACTATGGATTGCTTTGGTCCAGGCTTAATTTATGGGGAATTTTTCTATCTACTTAAAAAAAGATCATGAAAAAAATTACCTTCTCCACAATTAAATGCACAAAACATCTGGTGGGGATGTTTTATTTATTCCTGAAAGACTTATTTGAAAGTATAGATAGGGGTCCAGAAATAAGGCTCTGGACCTGTGCAGATTCACTATGGGTCAGAGGGAGGGGGTAGTAAGAGACACCCCTATTTAAACTTTAAGTTGGTATGAATGCTAAATTCCAATCTGGGCTTTGATCCTTGGTTTATAGATTTCTTCTAAAGAAGAGATTTTAAATTCTGCCTCTTGATCCAAAAGGAAGCAGAGTTGGAGACATTAAGGAGGAGAGAAGATTGGCTGGTCTCTGATTACAGGGTGAAACATTCTCATCTACTCACCTCAGCCAAACTAGTGACTTTTTAACTTATCAAAAGACAAAGTGAAGACTAGGCATGAAGCCACTGTGTAGCTTCGTGACCTGAAGTAATTTCCTAGACCTCAAGAAGAAAGGATGACAAATATGGATGCCAGGCCCCATTCCTCTTCTACCGTCATCTCCAAAGTCTTGTGAACATTTTTAAATAATGAATGAGGAGGAAAAGCAACCGACCACTTCTTATGAGAGCAAACACACAAAGCTCATAAAAAGGATCCTTCCTTCTCTGCTGACCAAGAGCTAGTGATAGAAGGAGCATTTCAAGGAACCCTCCTAGCTTTAGACCTGAGGAAACCTGAAAACCAACAGATAAAGCTGAAGTAGATGGTGAAGATGTTCATACATGGGCACTTAGTGTTAGAGGCTAATTTTGGAAGAAGCAATGAAGTTCAGCTAAGAGCAAGACCCAGTCTGAGCCTGCGTGCCAGCCCCTACCCACAATCTGCTCTCAGTGGCTAATCCCCCTCCCCCACTGATCCTGCCTCTCGGGCTCTTCACTGCTACCACTCCTCAGCCTGTCCCCTACCAGGCAGGCACTGTTTTTTCTTGGAATGTGTACACTACTCTATTATTTGTAACTAAGTTATCACATGCCCCAAAGAGAATGGTAAGGCTCGATGTCCCCTGCTTTGGGGTTTACAATCCCTGGATCCTCACTCCCTACTTCCAGACTAATCTAACATTCTGTTTCCTTCCAGCCTCACATATACCTGGCAAAGGATCAGGGTTTCTTCTCCATACTCCACCTCTCCAACTACCCTTCCTAGAGTCCCCCTGCACCATCATTACCATACTCAGCATAGAACTGATCATCAAAACACCTCCCAAATACTCCACAAATGCAGCCATGTAGGGCTCTGAATCTCTGTCTTACTGGAGTTTGCTTCTGACTTTATTTTGGAGAAGACACAAAAGGTAGGACTGACCCCAGGAGCACTACTGGCAATGCTCATGGTTCTCACTGAGAGCATCCAAGAGCTTCCCTATGTTCCCAGTCATCACTGCCCTTTGACTTCTTCCCACTGCTCCCCCCAAATCCCTGCCGTGCCCCCAAAGCTCCTTTACATGCAAGCAAAGCAAGCCCAAGAGTAACCATTAGCTTTTCTTTTCCTAGGGTTTTCTACATATTGATAAAATGTACTTAACTACAATTCTTCCCTCAGCCCACCCCCGAACCCCAAAAGGCTTTTGCTAACAAAACTGAAAGAAACAGCCCCAGCCACAGACATCTCAGCTCTGGATTCAAATTCTAGGCAGTAGCAAAGATACCATGATGCTCTGTGACATCTGTTTCTCTCCTGAAGCTACTGTTTGTCAACCTTGTAGGAAAAAAAAGAAAATTCCACATCTGAATTTACCTTACTGAGTATCTTATGCACGAAAATAGCAGGAGAATAAATAACTGAAATCTGTTCAACCCCAAATATTTTAGATTGCAAATCAAAAATAATGACAGAGTACATGGAAAAAGATCAACAAGTACTTACCCCTATCCACCCCTCTGGATCCTTCCCCCAAGGACATGATCATGTGACCCAAACCCTTCCTCATAGAAGGGTGCAGACCCTGTCAGCCCTTTGGAATAAAGGCATCCTTCCTGTTGAGAAAGTAGAATCTGAGAAGGCCTCTCCCATCCCCAGTCTCTCAAGGGAAGTTGCTATGAAGATAAGTTGGCCAACAGGCAGGGTCCACTCCCAGTTGCTGGGGCCACACTGACAATCCACACCAGATTCCACTGGTGGCCATCAATCAAACCAAGAAACAGGATCCACCTTCTCCTTCTTATTGCTCGCTTTCCCTAAAACAAATTGCAGTCTCTCATGTCTCTTAAAGAGCCACTTTATCCTCTTCCTGCTCTGCGGATCACCAAATGGTGAAACAGCCACTGTTGCCAGTCAAGATGCAGAAAGAAGAGGCCGACAAAAATCTGAGCTACAGGAATAGGTTTTTATCTGAGTTACTTCTACTGAGAGGCTACCAGATCCTAAAGGGGTTTGGAAGACATGTGATCTCCCACAGAGTGGAGGGGGAAAGTACTAGAAAACTTAAGAGTGGTCATTGCTGTGTTCAAAGGCAGAGTGCAAAGAGCATTGGTTCCCAAAAGTGGAAACACCCCCAGCATCCATGTGTTCCCAACTGGACTATTACACATGTGCCCATACCCAGCATGTAGTGTGACACCTTGGCCATCCACCCCATGGACACAGAGAGGACCATATTTTGTCAATTTCCTTTGCAGTCCTTCAAGTAAAGACTAAAATAGCTCCCAGGGATGCAGGAAGGCTGATGGCCTCCAAGGACACTGTCACAAGAAGGAAGCCTCCATTGGAAGGAGAATGAGTCCAAGGCCACTGAGAAATAGGTAGGCCTTGGGTCTTTTCCCTGCCCTGAGGACACCACAGCACAGCTGCCACCTAGTGGCCAGCAGAAAACACAGCTCCCACCATTTGGTCTGATATGCTGAGGTAAAGGGCACTGGCAGAGGCAAGAAAAGAAGGGAGTCAGCACCTTTGTTGGCACAGGACCCCTGGAAAGCCCAGTTGTAGGCAGAGACACCTCAGCCCACAGCATTGGGCTCTTGGCCCTGTATAACATCCTAAAGAAGCAAAGCCTTCTATACCAGCTTCTCCTCTTCTTTTCTAACCTCAAGGCCCAGATGGCCTCAGGGACTAGAAGTCCCAGGAGGGTGCTAAGAAGTTGGCCTAATTTATCCCATAGTTCTCCAGACCTGATGCATGGCAATCACCTTCCATTGCAGGACCTTGGCTGGCCAGCCTGGTGGGACAAAGACTACAGACTGACCTGCTGTAAGCCCCCACATTCCACACTGATATTTCAGGTAGGTCTGCTCCCCACACATCCTGGGAGAGATGCTCTAGTTAGCAGCCCATGTGGCACAGTGGCAGTGGTAGCACCACCTCTGAAAAAAAAACGCAAAGAGGCACACAACTCTACTTTTCCAGTTTGCTAGAGATGCTGCCCAGTAGTCAAGTGGACTCCAATGCCCCACAGAATGCATTAGCTGAGGGTCCAGGTCCCAGAGCAATACAACACCATCTGCTGCACATTCTTCACCCTTGTCCATAAATGATCTGTAGCTGTGGTGTAGCTCACATGGCAGAGCCTCAAGGGTTGGTCCCCAGTTCACTAGGAAAGAGTAGGAAGCACCAGGGCCTAGCTGACAGAGGCAAATTCCATCCCCCAAAGTGGAAGCTCCAACAAAGGACCAGCTTCCCAGCCCTCAGAGGCCATGTCTTGCCTAGGTCATTGGGCCGAGCCATTGGCAACTGCAATGAGACGAGCAGAAGCCTTCTAGTGCTCTGACTTACTTGGTCAATGTCCAGGCAGGCCACTGGGGAAGAAGTGAATGTCCCCACACCTACCAAGACAATAGCACCAAGAAGGAAATACTTCAAGGTTCCTAGCAATTTCCATTATTCTAGGCCAGGCCAAAAGGGTAGCCTCCTATACAAGAAGAGGGGAGAGTGAAAACAGTTCCTCTCTCTGCCCCATTCTTGGTCTTCTGTTCTGTTCTTGGGCAGCACCGTTATCTCATGGAAAGAGAAAGAGGTATCTGAGTAGGAAGATAGCCTCAAAAGAGCTTCTGGGTGCTAGTTTGAACTATGATAAGATTTTGGTAGAGGAAGGACCAAGGTGCACATCCCTGCCTACTCCCTGTTTCACCTCCATTCCTGTGCCTCAAAAAGCTTTATTCAAGAGTACTTGGAAAAGAGTACCCCAGAACACAGTTATCTGAGGCATCCTCAGGATATGCTACTAGAGCTTGGGTCCCCAGGGTGGAGGGGGACCCCAGGGTAAAGCAGAGATTGCAGGAAACAAGTGGCAAGTATGCAAAGGAGCCGCAGGCAGCACTACACAAGTGGCAATTAATCAATCTGGAGAATTAGCTCCTACAATAGGAAAGGAGGAGCCAATCAGCCACCATGGAGCAACACTCCAGAGAGTGCAGAGCTGGAGAGTGATATAAATAGAGCTGAGGCAGCTTGGTGCTCTGCACAGGTGGCCCCAGAATGAGAGAACCTTAGGCCGCAGGGCTCCTGGCCCTGGCTAGACCAAAAGGAACAGCTGATGCATGATTGTGTGAGCTCGGGTTTGTGCACCAGGGCCTGCCATTGCAAAGCAGCATCTACTTCTGTCACATGGGCCAAACTGTGGAAGGTAAGAAGATGCCAGTCTGGCCTTGTGCCTGGCCACCCTTTCTTCACCTGGCAACCAAGCAAGAAAGGCTTGTGTTTATTTCAGTGGTAACGGTTTGCTAAACCTGCAAAGCAGGCAGCTGGCAATCATGGCAGGGCCCCATTTCTGTTCTGGTTGGGGCAAGTTAGAGAGAACAATGGTAAATTTAGCTGAGAGACATGAATCCTGTTTCAGCAAGAATAATCCCTCGAGACAGACATGAGGGCACCCAGCCAGCTCACAGCCAACCCTGCTCACAAACCCCAGCTGTCCACTGCCCTCCTCCTTCTTTCATTGACCACAGAAAGAAACAGCATTTTGCTTCAATGTACATATATATACACATAGAGAAACCCACCAACTACATACATGTGCATTTGTATCTATATCTATATATATGTGGAATTTGAAAGATGTATGGAAGTCTAGCCATCTCCCAGCACTCAAAAAAACTAAAACAGAAGCAGAGAGCAGTAAAAGCCATTGTTTTCCTCTTCTTCACTTTCAAAGACATTGAAGAAGCGAGAAAAATCAAGGGAGAGGTGGGTGGAGACAGATGCCCTTCTGTCCCCAGCTTGCTCCCTGACTTTGACCCACAGGCAGAAAGTCTGCCCCAGCCCTCTGTCCTGTGGACAAGACCAACTGGCCAGGATCTGGGGGAAGACTCCCACTCTGGCAGGAGAGAGGGCACACAGGACAAAGGTCTGAGCCATGTGTTGGTGGACAGAGGATGAGGCCCCACATGAGGTCCCTCCCTGCCCCCACAGCCCAGGACCCTGCCCTGGGACACTTAGAGTGGTGTGGAGTCATAGCAGAGTGGCATGGCCTGGGTCATCATGATCCACACTGTTGAGGATTGCTGTCTGGTCTTCTGGAAGCTGGCGGTGGCACAAGTCTGAGAGCCGGGCAAAAGGGTCAGGACGAGAGTGTCTCTTCTTCTTTCGGAGGCAGACAGCTTCGTCGGGCCACAGAACCTGAGAGTTGGGAAGCTGCTGAGCCTGGGAGGCAGAACCGTCTAGAGAAGGAAACAGACACACCAAAGAAAAGAGAAAGGACGTGAAAAGGAAGAATGCAGCCTCATGCACTCACCTTTGGCACTATCGAGGACATATATGCTAAGTTTCTAATAGTGAAACAAAGGGATCACTAGAGATGAGACGGAATTAAAGAGAAACCACCTTCTTTACTGCTAAGGCAACAACCAACCTGACCTTGCTCAACCTGACCTTATTCATTATAATGAGTCAAAAAAGTTGGATAGATATGATTTTTCCTTCTACAAATTCATAGATCTCATGAATCAATATGCAAATATTTCCTTGGCATTATCTACAGGGTACCAGGTATCATTGTAGGAACCAGGAATCAGGGATTCTAAGAATGGGCTGGGATACAATACATTTTTCGCATCTACCTCAAACAGTGATGAACATTACACTGATTTTAATCATTTGCAATAGATTCAGGACTGGACCCTTCCTATACTGCCAGGGGCACTCCTCTGCCTCATGGCCAATCAAGGCAGGAGAGGAGGGGGATGCAGACTGCAATTTTAGCAGTAGACACAGCACACACTGGCCAGGTTCAGGATATGTTATAAAGGTTGAGCCAATAGACCTTACCAAAGGAACTGGGTATAATGGGAAAGGCCTGCTTTCTATAGGATTATACTTCAGTATGGGGGCTGGGAGAAAGAGAAACAAAATTTTCAGATGCCATAAGTACAACAATGAAAGATAAAGCACTCCTGTGATAACAAACAACTGAGGCACTGCTTCTGCTCCCTAATGGTTTAACACTTGAATTGAGTCTTCAATTATAAAACTTCCACAGACCTAAAGGAAAATTATTCCATCACAAGGAACAGCCAGTGCAAAAGTTCTGAGTTAAGAGCAAATGTGACATGTTCCACAGCCCAGGAAGACTGACAGGAGTATTGAAGGAGATTGAGATCTGTTCTGGTTGCAAGGGGTAGGCTTCTGACAGGTTTTAACCAGAAGCAAATGTGTGCATGTATGTACCCACATACCACTGAAAAAGAGAAAACTGTTCTGTCCTCTAACACTCACTCTGGTTGCTATGTGCAGCACAAGGAGTGAGGATAGGACAGGAGAACCAGATGTAAGGTACTGCAACAGTCAAGGCAGGAGAGGAGAGGGATGCAGACTGCAATTTTTGCAGTAGATACAGCACACACTGGCCAGGTTCAGGATATGTTATAAAGGTTGAGCCAACAGACCTTACCAAAGGAACTGGGCATAAGCCATGAGAGCAAAAGAAGAATCCAGGTAAAAAGCCAATGTCATTTACTAAACTGAGGAAGAAGTGGGAAGGAGCTAATTTGGAAAGGATAATCAATAACTCTATGGGACATTATAAAAGTTTCTAAAACATCCAAGTGCATGTTCAACAGTCAACTGGAAACACAAAATTTGACTTTACAGATGAGACCTGAGCTAAGGACAGACATGAGAGTTGTCAACATAGAGCAGGTTCCAGGTCCACCATCGTCAGAACAAGAGAATCTGATGAGGCTTATTTTGCAATAAGAAAATAAATTTTGTTTATTATTATAACTTACAATCACGTATTACATAACAACATTTTGGCCAACAGTGAACCACATGTACAACAATAGTCCCTTAAGATACCACCTAGTGATATCCTAGCCATCCCAGTTTTACTTGACAAAATTGCCTCAAGACAAATTTCTTAGAATATGTCCCTATTGTTAGGTGATACTTGACTATACACACATACACACACACACACACACACACACACCCCAAAAAAAAAAGATGGGTTTAGACAGATCACAAATTCAGCTTTGGGGTCTACTTTCTCCCCCAAACCTTAAAAATTCATTTTCTTTTTTTAACCTCAGTATGACCATCTATAAACTGATAGGAAACCAGCACCACACAAGGCTAAGGGATAGACCATCAATCACCATATCCTAACGATTCAGATGGCTTCACATTTGTAACACTTTTCTATAATCTTATCTATGAAAGAAGTTGCTCTATAGATCAAAGGTCTGCAAAGAAACTGTTGAGCATTCTTCCTGACAGCAACATTCTTAACCATTGGTAGAAACAGTATTTTGCTAAATCTCAAGGAATTTTTCTGAAGGAGGACTGAGTCATTTTGTGCTATTTTAGAAGCTACCTTTCACTGTTGGATAAACATTAGACATATTTCAATGGAGGTGCCTTTTACATGATAATGAGACTTTACTTGATGTAACTGAGAAAAGTTTGATCAACCTGTAGAGGCTGGTCCATGCCACATGTAATCTAAGCACCGTTATTCCTGTGTTAAACTAGAAGACTTGAAATTTTAGAGGAAAAATACATAAGGAAAAGGTATATTTGCACAGTATGCTACAAAATGCAAAACAAAATACAGTGCTATTTATGTTATTCAAAAACACCTTAAAACAATGAGCTATATGTTCAAAAGCTACATGCACAGAAAATACTCTGCAGACACATAGAGTGGTGGTTTCCTAGGTGAGAGGAAATTAATTGAGTGAGGGGGGCAGTCAGATTTGAACCTTATCTTTCTCATTTTATAGATGAAAATTACATTTGTGTATTACTTGAAAATGAATGTTTAAAAAGAAACCAAGAGGACCAAGGTACTGTAGCTTAGTGGTAGAGCACTTGGCTAGCATGTGTGAAGCACTGGGTACAATCCTCAGCATCACATAAAAATGAGTATTAAAAAAAATTTTTTTTAAACCAAGAACAAGAGAAGCTAACGAATTTGATTCTAGAGAAAACCCAAGGTTGGAATCCTGGACCCAACTGACAAGCCTCGTGACAATAGAAAAGGTGGAAAGAGAGGAGCAGGTGCTTCCCACCATTTACCGGATCGTTTCTTTGACTTCGAAGAGCCCTTGGATGACTTTTTGGGCTTCTTTATCCGTTGGTATTTCAGAGCCTCCAGCCTCTCAGGTGCAGCAGCATTCCCCGACGCAGGTGGAAGTGTTCTGAAAGGGACAATTAGAGAGGTACAGGTCAGCTCCCACATGAGGGAGCTTTGGAAGAGGGCTGGAAGAAAGCCAAAGAGCTGGCCCATAGAAGGATGGAGCCCAGGGCTACAGAGTCCGAGGTATCCACAATGGTTCCAACCTGCCTTTCTATTGCTCCTGAAAGGAAGAAAACCCAGTAGAAAGTTCCAGCACCAGGCGGCCTATCTCAGGAAAGAAACCTGTAGAACATCAGAAGACCCTAAGAAAGGGAGAGAGAGAGACTTTAATCGTAAGCCCCATCACACATGACTCAGGCTGGGATGAGTAAATGTCAGAGAAAAAGTGGGTTCAACGTCCACATTTCCTAGAAATCAGCACAATCAAGACCTTTAGCTGAAAAGTAAAAGGACAGTTTTAAGCAGAAGGTGAGCAACTCTTAATCCCAATTAACTGACCTCCATCTCTAGAAAATGGAAGGGCAAAACAAGAAGCCCAATGCCCAGTGTGATGGAGGTTCCATAAAACCCAACTGCAATGGGTAGCTTCCCCTCTGTCTGCAATATTGAGCCAGAATCTTGCAGCAAATAGCAAAAAATAATGGTCACAAAGCAACATTTTCAGCAGGAATATCTAGTTGACCCTCTGCAGATGAAGCTGATTTCCTTCATCTTATAAGAGAACAGAAGAGAGTAGAAGTAGATTATGACAGGGTATTCAAATCTGCAGCTTCACAAAGCCCTTACTGTCTGTAATAAGTATCCTGTGAATTCTACATTTTAAGATTTAACAAAGACACTGAGGTTAGGAGGGAGGAACCACGTACATAGGTCTCTTCACCCAAGGTATGGGGAAGAGGTGGAATTTGTTATTTATTTGATGGACTGACTACCTGGCAAGGATAGGCAACTGTTTAACCAGAGCCTATGCAGTCCAGGTAATCAAGAAGATCCAAGTGAACTGAGAGGAGAGCAGTGTGTGACCATCTGTGCATAGTAGAGAGAATTTTCATAAGTCGTAACTGAAGAAAATCTGGAAGACGTATTTATCAAGACATATTTATCAATGTCATTTCTTCTCAAAGGAAGCCAGCTTGGAGCCTGAGAAATAAAGGGGAAAAGCGAGATAAGACGCTCTTTCTTCCCACAGCACTGGTATTAGCACGCGAGCAAGGAAGTAGAAACATTTTCGGACCATGGCGCGGCGGAGGTGACTCACATTCTTCCCCTCCTCAGTCTTCACATCTCCCTCCCCCATCTCCATCACAATCATGTTTTTTTTAAATCCTAATCAAAAGACAGATAACACTGGGAGGGCCAAAGAAGTCCCCAAAGGTCAGGAAGCCATCTGAAGTTAAAAAGAAGAAAAAAAAAAAGTAAAGAAAAACAATGAGAGAGGTAATGAAAAGACTGTAAACCCATCTCCCCAACATCAGATGTATCTATGAGCACCAGGGAAGAGGAAACTTACAGATTCATTGTCGATAAGCCTCTGGTCTCTGCCGCAGTAATTGGCAATGAAGTGGCCTCCATCTTCTTTGATGGATGTCACCATTCTGAAGTCTTTGGGCACATAAAGTATCAAGAAGCCCCCTCAAAGTTCAAGTCAAGAGACAACTTTTTCTTGACTCTCCACAGCTTCCTGACAGTAGTGCTAAGCAGCCCACAGGTGTCACATGAAATAGTAGTAGTTTGACTCACATCAGAAGTCGGGTCTTTTCCCAAGTCCCCATAGATCAATACCCCACTCCTTCCTTTTCTACAAATCCCAGAGTCTACCCAGAGAGACTTTCTACCATAGTAACAGCTGGAAGGGAATTTGGATGGCTAGGGCAGGAGGGAACCTGCCTTCCCGAGGCTGGGAGACTGTCCTCATCCCCTTATCAGCCTTGACCAAGGCTTCTTCATGCTGCCTAAAAGGAAAATCAAAGATGTGAATCCAACTGTTCAGTTATCTCCATCTCCTGGTCTTGGGCAGTTTCTTCAGAAAGACCATAAAGCTGAGGAATATACAGTCTGAGGAGGCACACAATAGGCAAGAATAGTGTTCTCCAATATAATCCTGGGTAAGCTACAGTTAGACACAGTTCTGGGTTACCCCCCAGTCAATGGGCAGAAGCAGTGGTTTAAAGAGCAGTTTCTGGCACACATGGTGGTATCCACCTATAGTCCCAACTACTCTGGAGGCTGAGGCAGGAGGATCATAAGTTCAAAGCCAGTCTGGGCCATTTAGAGAAACCCTTTCCCAAAATAAAAAGCAGTTTCCTCCTCTATTCATTATCTGAATACAAACTTCACTTGTCTGCTGAGATACTGTAGATAGGAGACAGAGGAAATCCCTCATGTACACACTCAGACCAGGGAAAAAGTGAGTGCATCCATTCTCCATGCGTCCAGCAGACTGGTAGGAGTGTACAGGTCAGCACCAACCCAGCCTGACCACAAGCTAGTCACTCTCAGTGAGGTCAGAATACAGACTATTGGTGAGAAGTTGGTATAGGGCACCCTGAAAATTCCTATGGATTCTTCAAGCCAGATGAAGGCTTGAAGGAGGGATGTTATTATAATCAATATGTTATTATTATTATCATCATTTTTACCACACTGCATCTGTTTACCACTTACCATGCCAGGCCCTGTTCTATATTGTCTACAATAATTGTCTTTAATCTTTACCCTAAGGGATAAGTTCACATTTCAGATGGAGAAACTGAAGTTTAGAGAGATTGAGCAATTTATCCAATAATCCAGTATCACGAAATAAGAGTCAAGATTCATTAGTATTAGACTAAATTACTCTTCAAATTATTTCCCCAATAAAAATAGATACAGATGCTCCAACAAAATGAGAACACTGCTTCCATACCACACCTGAGAAGTAACTCTTCCCTGTAATATAGTAGTTGCTAGTCACCAATGTGCTATTGGTAAGACAGACTGGAGATGGGGAAAAACTGGCTGAAGTTATGTCTTCAAGGCAAAAATTCCCAAACAGTAATGATTCAGTGAGAAGGAGAAAGAAATATCCTCTTGAGAAACAGCCAGACTCCAGTCCTTTCAGGATACTTGCTCCCCACCTGATATAGCTCCTGACTCAGTGCAATCTGACAAAAGTCTCCTGGGTACCTCAGGACACTAGCCTAATGCCAGAGGAAAAAATAAGTGTCTAGCAGGACAGGTGGGAAGGAAGGGGGACAGGAAAAATGGATCTATTTTTGGTAAATTTTACAGAAAAGACACATGAAATGTGTTCTAACAGACTTTACCAACAGCATGAAGTCCTCTGAAATCAAAATGCCTCCCTTTTTTAGCAAGGGTGATCATCTTCCCCTGTTAATATCAAGCTCAACTGATACCCTTCTGGTTTTGGAGCCTCTGGTGCTGATATCTTGGACAGGAAGCTGGGATTAGGCAACTCCATTCCTAACCCCAGAATAAAGCTATCAAGCAAACCTGTGCTTGACCTATAAAAGACCCTGTTGCAACAGAACCTAACCTCAGGCTCTCCAAGAAGTTATGGTCCCTATTTTCCCCCCAATCAGCCAAAATCCTTCTAAACATATAAGAATGCTGCAAACTCTGAAGTTCTCCTTCCAGGAAGTAAAGGATACCACTGAAAAATGAGCCTAAGCCTATGGAGTTTAGTGGGTCTCCCCTTTTTCCATATATTTCAATTACTGACCCAATGGCATTTTAGTGTTTATTGAAGTTCAGAACTACCAAAAATTGCTAGGATTCTAATTTTTTTTAATACTTTTTAATTGTAGCTGACACAATACCTTTATTTTTTATTTATATGTGGTGCTGAGGATCGAACCCAGGGTCTCCTCGTACATGCCAGGTGAGCGCTCTACCGCTGAGCCACAACCCCAGCCCAGATTCTATTTTAATACTCCCCTCCTCCTCCTCCTTCTTTCTCTCTCTCTCTCTCTCTCTCTCTCTCTCTCTCTCTCTCTCTCTCTAACGATGCACACAAAACCCCAATCATGCTTATTTAACAAAGAGGTCCTAGCTGCTTGGATCTTTACTTAAGTAAGATAGCAAAGGAACAAGGCAGTCAGGTTCAAAATAGACAAACTTCAGGGAAAAAAAACCAAAATCATCTGGACACTTCCTTCCCTGGATGCCCTATCAGCTAACCATTACAACACAGTTCCCAGTTACCCCCGAGTCAACAGGCAGAAACAGTGGTTTAAAGAGCAATTTCCTCCTCTTCTTCACTGCCTGAACACAAACTCCACTTGCTCAGTGAGATACTGTGGGTGGGAGGCAGAGGAAATCTACTCATGTACACATTATGACCAGAGAAAAGGTGAGTCCATTCTCCAAGTGCCTCACAGACAGCCAGGAGTGTACAGGTCAGCACCAACCCAGCCTGACCCCAAGATAGTCCCTCTCAGTAAGGACAGGGTACAGACCAAGTCTCTGCCTCAGAACCTCAAAACTCAGGAGAGGTTTATAAACAAATGGGGTTCCCTCCTATGTTCACCTATTAAAGGCAGATGCACCCTTGCTTCCAAATCCCCTGCACCACTGAGGTCACAACAGGTAGTAAGGTGGAAGGGAGTTAGATGAAGATGTGAGCACAGAGGTGCTACCAGCATCTGAGCGAACAGCTCTGCCCCTAGCAATCCACACAAGGACAGGTCCACACAATACAACTCCACATGTTGAGATGGGAGTTGGGAAGAGGAGAAAAGGGGGAGAAAGAAAAGAGGAGAGATGGGGGAGACAACAACAGGCATGGGAAGAAGGAATAGGAGAGAAATTGAAGGGGAAAGAAACAGCGAGAACGAACGTAGACAAGAGGCGTCACAACTTCTCCAAGCAAGACCCAGGGGGAAAACATGCAAAGGCGCAGCATGAAGACAGCATCTACAGAGGAGCCTGTCATCTCCCCATGGCCCCAGCAGCAACTGCGCCCCAGGGAGGCTCTCAGCAAGCAGGAGAGCGAGCAGAGGCTCCTGTTGCCCAGCACCATGAAGTTCTAACTCGGAGGATGTGGGAGGATTTCGTTCTCCTAGGCAGGAGATGTTGGCCACCCCGAGAGAGAAACAAGTTCCTCATTGCTGCCCCTGGTTTCTGGGTTTGCCACAACAGTGATAGGATAGCTGGGTTCTCTCAGATCTGGCATGGTGGGGTCACTAGGGAAAAAGAGGTTCAACAGAATAGGGAGTGGGGAGTAGAAGTAACCAATGAGAATGGAGTCCAGGCACTTTTCAGGAGTTGGAATGAAAGCTAGTCTAGAGCTACCTACCCCAAGGGCAACAGAGTCATAACTGGGGGACAACAAGGAAGAGTGGGAAGGTGCAATTTGGCCAGTCACTCTCACTCCTCTGTAGTATTTAACCAGGAAGCCATGGGAGGATCCTGGAGCAGGTGAGCTTATTAATGTTGCCTGCTGGTCCTCATCCTCCCTCCAGTCCTGGGGACTGCAGCATGACACTAGTAACCTCATACACAATTCCAGGGCCTCTTGGCTACTGACAGTTGTTTAGCTGCGGGTGATCGAAAACTATGTCAAGGCAGTCCTCTTTATGTTAGGCCATTCTTAAGACCTAAAGAGACTTAGAGTCCTGAATTAGAAAAATCAGCCTCTCTTGGCATTGCAAGGTGGAAAATGATAACTACTTCTCATCTAGAGAAGCCAAAAGCACTTAGATAAAAGACTCTCTCCCTCCCATGCAGGTGCTCAGTGCAGTGCCATGCTCTCAGAAGCATGGTCAGTGTCATCCGTGACCAAAATAAGCTTCTTTTTAGGTAACCATGAGAGAGAGAGCCTGCAGTGTCCTGGGCTTGTTGAAGAGACTCAATGGCCCCCCCTACAATGGCCATATTCTTTTGGCCTCCACCCAGAAGGATGGTAGAGAAAGGAGTCACCCATGTAGGGCAGGCTCCTGCAGTGCTGATCCCTTGTTCTTCCCTCTTGCTAACTCAACTTCCTTATGCCTAGAGGAGGGAGCTCCTGCCAAGGCCCTTTCTCTTGGAGGTCTGCATAGCAATTACAGGGACCTTGAAAAGCAATTTGGACCAAGGTTGAGGTCACACTTCAGTCTTAAAACAACCAAGAACAGGCTGCAAATGCAAGGAGTATGGGACAAGTGGTAACATACACTCGAGCTCCTTAAGATAACCTAATATTATGATTCTAAGAAGTGGGTGAGGGACCAGCAACCCCAGGGGAAGATCCAAGCCTTTGTAGGCTGGGTGGTGAAGAGAGGGACACTAAGCCTAAGGCTGCTGGGAAAACAGGGCAGAGGTTTGAGGGTAAGGGGAAGGTCCTAAATATTCATGTGGGTGCAGATAGGTCCCCAAGGGTGGAGATGCAAAGCAGATCTTGGGCATCCTGGGTCCCTTGGGTGCATGCAGGGTCCCGGGCTGCTGGGGAAGAGGTTCTAGATGTGTTGGCAGCAGGATGATGGGAGTCTGAGAGGGAGCAACTGCAGGGGCTCTGGGAGGGACTAGACATGGGCTGGGAGGTTACAAGCTGCAGCTAGGGGTGTCTGGGAAGAGCTCATTGTACAGCTGGAGCAGCCTGAGAAGCACAATGTGGGGAACCCAGAAGCCATGGGAATCCAGGAGCGGCAGCTGCCCCCCATGGGCAGTGAGGGAATGTGGTTTGGATCCCCTGTCAAGGAAGCGATGGCCCTGCCAAAGCCCCGTCCACCTGCCCACCCCCGCCCGCCCCCGAGGAGCTCCCTTACCTATTGAGCTGAGGAGAGGCTTGTCTCGACAACACTGCCCAGATAGCTGAGATCAATCAGAAACAAAGCAGTTACCAACACCGGCCAGGGGGAACCACCCACGCACACCCAGAGGGGAGGAGGGGGAAGCACAGCTAGCAGAGACCCACAGGCGAGGCCAGAGAATGGGGTGAGGGAGGAGAGGAGAGAGACGGAGAACCAGACGCACGATGGAACAAAGCAGGTGAGCGGGCTGCACAAAGCAGACAGGGCGACGACAGCATCTCCTGCAGACAGAGGCGGGACGCCCTAGCCAGAGCTCTCCTCCACCTCCCTACCTTCTCCACCCACCCACCAGGAGCCCCCGCAGTGGTACTGAGGGTGGGAGGTGGGCTTGCATTTCCAGGTACCAGAGAGGGTGGGAGGGAATGGGGGCAGGGGAAGGTTGCCGGGCTCCTCTTCCCCAGCCACCTACCAGCCCCTACCACCAGGCCAGCCTCCTCTGGAACTCTGCTCCCCTCCACAGGCGGCTACATCAAGAAGAAAGACCAAAGGACGGAACCAGAGGGAGAGAAAGAGAGAGAGAGAGGGAAAGAGACAGGAGAAAGGGAAGGGGATGGGGGAGATCAAGGGGTACTACAGAGTCATGGCAGGCTCTTCTGAGCAAGTCGGGTCAACCCAAAGGCAATGGAAACGAAAGAAAGGTGGACAGAGACTGACTAGAGAAGGAAGGAAGGGTGAGGAGAAGGAGGAGGAGGAAGGTAGGGTAGAAAGACAGAGAAGAAGAGGTATGGACAGATGTCCAGGCTGACTCTGGTACCTGGAATACCAGCTGCTACAGTTTAGAGTGTGCTCTCTCAGGCGGGCTGATCGCGGGAGCTTGTCTGTCTGTCTGTCTCTCTGCAGTTTCCTGTGAGGCACACAGGTGGGGATGGGGGATGTGGCTCCCAGCACACAAGGCCTAAGGTTTTTCTCCCAGCCTCCAGGATGCACCCTTCCTGTAGAGGCTGTGGACAGGGCCTGGAGTCCGGCGCTCACTAGGGCTACTAATGGGCAGGAGTTTGGGAACAAGCATCCCTTGACCTGGTAGTCCTAGGAAGTCAGGCTCTGGAGTCCTGCTTAGCAAGAAGGAGGGGTGAGGGAAGAGAAGGAGGCTATACAGGAGGTCTCTGGGCAACTCCAGGGAACCACAACCCAATGTCAAGATCATAGGGACTTGGAAGGCCTTGACTTCAAGGGCATTACTCACAGAAATCACTCCTACACCATGTTCCCCTCCCCTGCCCCAAACTCCCCAGTATGCTGTGGGCCTCCTGCGAGCTCTGGGCTGGGTGGAGAAGATCCCTTAAGCTCCTGGTAGAATACCTGGGCAGGTAAGCCTATCCCACCCCACCCCAGTGACCACACCCTGCCAATGCCGCGGTCAGAACTCCTACCAAAGGGATGCTGCAGCATGTCCACACAAGCCCTGTCATTGGGGCGATGGAAAGGTGGAGGGCAAGGTGAGGCATGTGGGGAGGAAGTTGACCAGGTGAGGTGGGTAAGAGACAGCAGCTCATACTCACCCTGAAGTAGGTAATGTTGTTGGGGGCTCTGGTCGGAGCAACTCCTCCCCCATCCTCCGAGGGGAAGGTGTCTGTCCAAACACATCCAAGTTGTCCCCAGGTGCCGCAGGGGCAGGGCCCGGCGGTGGGGAGGGGTAGCCTGTGGCCAGAGTGGTGAAGCCCATGGCGGGCCGGTAGCTGGGGCTCCCACTGCGACTGCTCTGGGAAGGGGAGCCCGTGGATGGCGTGGACTTTCGAGAGAAGCTGACTGCAGCTGGAGGCTGCAAGGTGATCTCCGACATCTCTGCCTGCTGTAGGAGGCCCGGGCGAGGCCGGGCACGGGCGGCGAGCTCTGGAGAGCCAGTGCGGGAGCTGAGGGGACTTTGGGTCAGAGGTGAGAGCCGGGAAGGCTGTAGCACCACTTGATGTAAACTGGGCTCGGTGCGCCGGGCCTGCCGGGGGCTGGGCCGAGGCCGGGGCTCATACCACCGGGTGTCCAGGCCAAATGTGCTGGGGCTGCCGTGCCCCCCGGGCTCAGCTGGCTCGGGGTAAGGCAACACGGGTATGCCCATACCTTGGCTGGTATGTCTTAGCTGCCCTTGGCTCACCAGAGGTTGCATAGGTCTGTCCTGCCACTTGGCGGCGGGCGGCACTGGGACAGGGCCCCTGCCTGGTGACTTGCCTGCCCAACCCTTTGGTGCCTCCAGAGACAGGATGCCTGGGTAGGCTGCGGGCACCTGAAGGGAGGAGGGGGGCAGTCCTCGGGGCAGGCAGGCCTTGGGCTGCAGACTCTCGGCCACATCACAGGGGTGCAGCTGGTGGGGGAACATCATGGCTGGGGTATCCAGCCCCCCAAAGGGGAATTCTGGCCGGCCCCAGGGCTCAGGGGAGCGCCCTCCCGTAGGGGTTTGAGTCAAGGGCAGCGTGCTGTTAGAAGCATTCTCTCCATTTTCCTCAGGGATGGTTGGGTGACTAAATGGCCCCTCTGTGTGCAGGGGTGGGGACGACATGACTGAGCTCAGGGGGCTGCCCACTTCTGGCATGTAGAAGGGTGGCGGTTCCACCTCCCCAGGGCTGCTGCTGCTCAGATACCCATAATACTGGCCATGGTGGAAGGGCCGGGGGGCAGGGGGCCTGGTTTGGCCGGTGGCCTGGAGTCGACCTCCCAGGCCACTGGGGCCCTCCAGCCCACGGGGCTGGAACCGAGGGCTATATGCTGGTGGTGGCAGGTAGGACTCCTGGCTGGAAGACAAGGGAGTCAGCTGGGACTTCAGGGCAGCCACAGATGTGGGCACCAGCGGGTCCTCATTCTCCTCGTCAGACTGACGGAACTCAGGGTACATGTCTGTCTCTTCTGCAAAGGGGAAGCCCTCAATGCGTCTGCTTTTCATGGAAGGCTCTATCTCAGAGGGATCCATTACAAAGCGGCCATCAGGGCCTCTGCTGATCAACTCGATGGGGGTCGTGGCCTCAGCCTCTGCCTCAGCCTTGGCCACACTGTACTTCTTGCTGCTGATGGCCCTCTTGGTCTTTTTGTATAAGGACAGCTCCTTCTCCCGTGTGGGACTCAGCATCCTCTTGGCTGCGGGCTGGCCCTGGTCATCGGAGGACTCAGATGGAGCACGAAGTGTGCGGATGCTCTCCGGACTCACCTTGCCAGAGGACAAGCTGCAGGGAGAGTAAGAGCAGGGTTAGGGTGCTTACACCAGCCTGTAGGGTAAGGGTGCTTATACCAGCCTGCAGCTTCTTTTCATTCTCTTAACAAAACACACTACCACCCAGGAGGGCAACACCGAAGAAACAGAGCAAAGATGGGCTGAATATTTTGGTGAGAAATACTCTGGCCAATTCTCAATTGTCTAGACATGTATTGTCCGTTTTTGGAATGCACACCCACATTGCTACTTTTATTCTGGCCTACCCCTATATTTGGCACACTCTGTCTAAGCACACCTCCAACTGCATTCCCAGGTTGTTCAAGAAATTCAACCTCATTTTAATACCAACTTAAGTATAACACATCATTTAGGCTAATCTGTTAGGGGATAAAAAATTATAGAAGTACATCACAAGGCTAAAGAGAAATAAATAACCTATTGATTTGGATTATCTACACTACCACTCCCTTCATCTCTATGGACAACTTAAAAGTAACATGCAGATCAGTCAACAGCTAAGAAACACAGAAATGGGGCAAAGCAAGGCAAACTGTCCACCTACATCTAGGCTTCCCATCCTCCCCACATACCAACAACAGCCGAGACACTTACGGAGACTCAAGACTCTTCCTGCAGTGAGTGATGGAGAGCGGAGGGTCTAGAGGGGCAAATGAATGGAGAAAGCCCTCTGAGTCCTGAATTCACAAAAACACAGCATCCCACACCCTGGTATCAATGCAGATCCACACAAGGGAAGGCACTGTGTTTGTACTGCATCTTCAAGTTCAGCTCAGAGGCCTATGCCCACCACCAGACCCTGCCTTCCCTTCAATCTTCCCTGTAACCTGCTTCCCTCCTCTCTTTCAAATCAAGTCCCACACTGGCAGCTCTATTAGCAGATACCAGTTTCCCAAATTCCAAGGAAGAGGAGAGACTGGGTTGAAGGAGGATGCTACAAATGGTCCATCCTTACTGATGAGGAGCATTTGAAACAGGGCCACATAGAGAAGGGGAGGAGACAGACACCTACCTTTTTTTCGCTTGAGCTTGCGCTTGCGCTGCTTGTTGACAAAGCAAGCAGCCAGAGTGCTGAACAAGATGGCAGCTGCCAAGAAGCAAATGGTAGCAACAATTCCAGCCAATACAGGCCGGGCCAGCCCATCATCAGTCAGGTCCGGCTGTGGGAAGATGTCTGCAAGGGAGACCAGGGAGCACTATAGGTCCCATCCCTCTCCACAACCTCCTCTCACCCAGACACTCCATCTCCAAGTTTCTTCCCCTATTGCTGTATAATAGGCAATGTTGGGGCTCAGCCTCGAAGCTCAACTCCAACACTAAGGAGGTGTGGTTATGTGAAGAGGAAAAGAAACAGCATCCATTTCAATGATCATCTATATTTGTCTAGTTCTTTACTTGGTGCAAAACATTTCTGTGCATGTTATTAGATCTTCTCACATTAACCCCATGAGCAAGACAGAGCACACAAACTGCTTTCACTCCCTAAATGTAAACACTGTGATTCACTTTGAGTGACCAGCTCATGTTACATCAGTATCCTAATCACAGCCCAGTTGTTTTGACCTCCAGTCCAGGAATTTCTGCTTTTTCCCATGCCATGTCTGCCAAATGGGAGCCCAGGGGTGAAAGCACTTTGACAGTAAAATTCTAGAGCAGGAGAGGGCTTGTTGCAATAGTATTCGGACCCATCTATTTTCAACTCAATACAGACAGGCATGCAGCTTCCTATAGCAAGGATTAGCATGCCCAGGTCACCTAAGTTACAGAAGATGCTAGAGCTGGCAGGGAAGGTAAAGATGGGTTCAGTTCTCTCATTTTATACATAAAGATCTAAGCCTTACTATGGACTCAAATTCCCAGAGCTAGTTAGTACCAGAGCCACGACTGGACCCCAATCTATTATATTTGACCCAAAAGACAACTGTATCAGTAAGTGCCACTCTTAAGGTTCATCAAAGGGAAATTCGATATATAGTGATATATTTGGCCACAAGTCCTTGCTATGTCAATAATAATAATGGATAAAAATAATCCAAATTATGCTGATGGGCTGAGTGGAAATTGAATGCCACAGCCTTTGCAAATGGGGGATTTAAATACAGGGAATGCTGAGATTGCTACATCCTCATTGCCTGTGTGGAATCATCTGACTAGGCATGTTTCCTTTCGGAGGCCAAGCAGAAAGCTACTGAATACAGAAGAGTTTACAAAAATGAGCCCACAAAACGCTCAAGCCTTCAACTTTGGCTTTGGCTGTTAGCTTCCTTGTTCCTGCATCTCTCTGAGTCTTCCCTGGAGAGAAGCCAAGACAGAAGTAAGTAAAGTTCTACTGCCTATAGCAGGTAACTCTATTTTACAACAAAACCCTAGGGTGCCTAATATATATGACAGAAATCACACTCCAATTCTTCCCCTCCCCCAAGTTCCCTTGAAGCTCCAGTTCTGCCCTTCCTCAATCTGGCCTCATCAGTGCTTCTGTAACTTCAGGAGGCTCAGTGAGTGAGCTTTTGGCCAAGATCCTTGTCCCTGGTCCCAGAGGCCTCTGTGCATGCAGAGCCCAAGGAAATGGGGCCATGGTTTGCTTGCTATGCAAGAGCCTCTTCCATACCAAGGATACTGCTTCCTTGGGGGAGGGGACTTTGCTCTGTTTCAGGAACTTGAGCTGGAGAGAAGACGTGTAGAAACTGGACTGGTGCCAAGAGAAAGAGAGATAAATGGAGAAAATGCTAGGGAGTTGGCTTTATTTAGCCTGAAAAAAATCTAGGGAGAGGAAGGAAGGCAAGAAAACAACACCAAACAACAATTTTCCAAATAAAACCCATATAATTATAAAGAAGCCTATAATAGGCATCCAATAAACACTTGTTGACCCTCTGTTTCTTCCCTCCAATGCATGTCCCACCCCCAGAACACAGTACAGCACTAGAGAAAACAGAAAATGTATAGCAAAACAATATTTAAATCAAGTTCTTTGTGACAACTATAATGAGATTTGTTGAATTTCCTTCTATGGTTATCCCAAAGAACTGTCAGAAAACCAGCTTTTTAATAGGATAAAATGCCATGCATCATGGAAGCATGGATCTGAAGGGTTTCAGAAATGCTTTGACTATGCAGTTTCAACTAAATATCTTAGTTTCCAGCCCAATCTGTCCTGTTTCACAAAAGGACTTTCATGCAGTTCTGGGGTTTTATGTCCCTATTACTATAGCAGTACCTCCACCCCCAAAGTACCTGTGCTGGAGACTCCGGCGATGTTGCTGGGCTCACTGATCAGATCCTGCATGACAGCCAGAACCCGGAACTCATACCAGGTGTCCTACAGCACCAGGAACAACACCTAGTCAGTGGAGGAACCTGAGACACTACTTCTTCCATCACTATAGATCCTGAAAATGACTTCCACAGAAAGAGCACCTGAGTACTGGGGTCCCTGGTGAGTATTTAATGGTGACTGCTAGCATTGGCCAGTTGCTATGGTATAAATATTCCCACCATGGCTGATATAAAGCTACAGACGTGAGGTCACTGAAAGACTTGCACAGATATATGTGCAATGGGCTCTCAAAAGTCACTGTGAGCCCATCTCAGCATACCACTAAATGAGAGTCCAGGGGAAAAAGACAGAATGATAACATGAGATTGGATCTGAGCTGCTTCCTCTCCCAATAGAGACACATGCATGATTAAGGAGAGATTGCTTGAAAAAAAAAAAAAAAAGTATTTTCCTCCAGTGGCTCTAAATTGTTAAAAGACACATTCTTTGTTGGGCTAACCTAGGGGACAATCCTTCTGGGACCTCCTCTGCCCATCCCTCAGCAAAAGCTAAGGACAGTGTTTTGAACACATACATTGGCCTCTCACCCTGCCCTAACTGGTGTTTGTCCTTAAGAAAAGCCATCTATGCAGCACAAGTACCCCGTGCCACCAAGCAGGCCCTGAACCTGAGGGACCTCAGCAGCCATGACCCAAGGAATCCAAACCTTGATAGCAGACCTAGGAGAATCCAGGAATGTTATAGGGAGGAACAGTGTAGGGCTTAGCCTCAGGCCCCTGATCTGAGTTACTCCAAGTTTCTGGTGGCTCTAGAAAGAGTTGTGACACTTCCAGAATCTGGGAAGAAGAGGCAAGGAAAAGCAAGGCCCCCACCTGTGATAGATCCTTGGCAAAGAAATCTCCATCAGTGCCTGGAATGGCATCATCTAGCATCTCCCAGCGCTCCCCGACTCGGAATTCCATGATATAGCGATCAATAGGGAAGCTGTGATTGGCAGGTGGGAGCCAGGACAGGAGCACACCCTGCTGGGTCCGATTGGCTGTGAGGCACCTTGGTGGGGTAACCAGCACCAGGGGTTCTGGAGTTGTAATAGGGAATGCTGCAGCAGAGGGAAAAGGAAGATGGCATCAGGAACACTGAGGTGGCCATGTCCTCCCCCACCCATGTTGGGAGAAAGAGTCGACCAGGAACCAACCAATGCACCATTTTAGAGGGGAAGAGGATGTCACCTAGAGTGGCCCTCCTGGTCCAAGGGAAGGGAAGTCAGGGACAGTGGCTACCATCAGAGTAGGTCTAAAGAACATACATGAAGGAATCAGATATGTACTTAAAAGGGAAAAAATGGGAACTATAGGGAAGAAGGAAGAATTAAGTGTAATTTAAATACAATCATACATCGCACAACATTTTGGTCAGTAAGGACCCATATATGGTACTGGTCCCATAAGACTATAATGGAGCTAAAAAATTCCCATTGGTGAATAACATAGTAGCCAATGTAACATCATAGAATAATGCTTTATTCAAATGTGTGGTGATGCTGTGCAAACAAACCTTTTGTGCCGCCAGTCATGTAAAACTGTGGCACATACAATTGTGTACAGTACAGAATACTTAAAAATAAGCAACAATGTCACTTGGTTTACGTATTTACTATACTATACTTTTTATCATCGCAGTATACTCCTATTTATTTAAAAGAAAACATTTCCTATAAAACATGACCTGTTCCAACAGCATCAGCTTCATACATCTCATGTTTACAGTGTCTCTTGATCACATCACTTTCTCTTGGGCTGTACCATTCAGGTTTGCTTAAGTACACTCTATAGTGTTCACACAAGGATAGTATTGCTTAATAGCACATTTCACAGGGATCCTCAGATTGCACCCCTGCTAATAAGTGACATATGACTGTATCTTTTGTTCCCTTCCTAGAAACTAGGAAAATCTTCCTGTGGCACACTGTTTACTCTCTCAATTCCATTCTTAGCCCAGGGACACAAAATGAGGCCCAGCAGAGGTACTTTAGATCTGGAGGTGAGCATCCTACCCCTGCTGCTCATCCTTGTGGAAGTACAGGAAAGGATTATGACAATAGGGCCTGAGTTGTGCCCCTGACTCTACCTACCAAGAGCAAAACAAAAAAGAGGAGGGCAAACACATCAGTAGGAAAAAGATTCCCAGTCTCCCCTGTAAACCCCACAGGACATGTAAACATGTGGCCTAATGAGGAAGGGCAAAATAGAAAAGCTCTTCTTTCTATCTGAGGATGCAATAGGAATTTGGCTAAATATATTATGACATTGGACCAGACAAATCCAACAGAAGAACATGACAAGTCATCAAAGGGAACCACTATAGAGAGTACTTAGTAAGGTACTAAGCCCTAAACAATAGCTCTAGACCATGGTCATTATCATCTTTATCCCAGCTCTGTGAGAAAATAGCCCCAGACGTACCAGTCCCGGACCCTCACCTAAAGTGTTCACAGTGACCACCTCACTGAAGGCGCTGGTTCCCAGCTTGTTCTGGGCCAGGACACTGAACTGGTATGCAGTCTCAGGCTCCAGGGTGTCCACCAGCAACCAGTTAGGGCCCGGTGGCACTGACAAGGACAGCCAGTCATGGGGCCCAAACTGTGCCCGCTTCATCCTGGCAGAAAAAAGAAAGAATGGGGGACAAGGGGTGGGGTGGGTCACACTGGAGAGAAGAGCATGCATGCAAGGTCCTCAAGGATAAGGCAGTGAGAGGACAAGCATTCCCAGGTTCCAGGACAGGAAGAGGGGATGGCCAAGGTAGGGTGACCTGTCTGGCTCTGGCTGTGCCAACCCTCATGATGCAGGGTCACCTACTACCACTGGTACCTCTACTACATAAAGGCAGTCTCCCATATAAATCATGCTAAAGACACTGATAAGATTACGAGCTGCACTGTGGGACAATTCCATCTTGCACACCCCTAAGAGTAGGCTCTGTCTTGGGAGTACTGGGAAGTAAAGATAAGCATCTGTGTAATAGCAGGACTAGGGAAGGAACCCAGGTGACCATGGCTGCCTACCTCCCAGGGAGAGCTCAAAGTGAGACCCAGAATAACCCAGGAAGCTCATTCAGTCCAATCAGATTTGGGTCATCTGAGGATGTCCAAAGAATATGGCAAAAATGACCAGAGGTTTTCTCATGGTGGTACCAGGATCCCTAAGGCCCTAAGGGTTAGAAATCATAATCTAGGAGGTCACACTGTGTGTGTGTAGGGATGAGTGTTTTCTATTGTTCTAAAGGGCCCCCAAACTTCCAACAGGCAATGAAGCCACCTACTGCAGGTGCAGTACCACCACATTACCACAGAGAGGAGACATTGTCCTGTGGGATTGGCCCACTTTGGCAGACCTGCACTGTAACTTATCTGATGCCCACAGGCTTCCCCTCTAGGTTTAAAGGCCGCTACCATGTATGCCCAGGAGGGTGAGCTGAGGCAGCAGAAAGCATAGCAAAAAGAAGTAGCGTCAAACATCTGAGTCAGTACAGGGAGAGTTGGAGGCAGTCAGAAAAGAAAAGAGGGAAAGAAACCTCCCCAACCTTGGCACCCACCTTTTCCCCACCTAGGGCACCAAAGCAAGTGAGCAGAGTATGATAAAGCAATGCAGATGAGCAGCCGTGTGGAACAGCACCACAAGCAGCAAGGAAGCCCCCAGATGTGTGCCCAACCCTTCCACTCGGGCACCCCCAAAGATGGCTTAGCCATGCCAAACACCCCTTCCCCTAGCCAGCATCTTGTAGCAGCCCCTGGGTGGTATGAGGAGTTCCCTCCCTTTGCCCTGGCATGGAAGGAAAAGAGATAATGAGTTTGAATGATGTTCTGGTTGCAGCTTCCCCCCCCCCTCCAGGAACACATCACCTATCCAAAATTCAAGATACCCAGGATATTCAGCCTGAGAACAACCCTAAACACTATGACAGAAAAAGGAGCAGGCTCCCTTCTTAAGCTCCTGTGCTGTTGAGGAGCATCTCATGGGGCCTCCAAGAGTCCCCCTGAATTCTGCTCTGACATCTGATTTTTTCCCCCTCCCCACACACTCAGACTGAGCCTGGCTAGAAACATAGGCCCAGGTGGGAGAGGAGAAAAGGAGGAAGGGGGGAGGTCTGACCTCCCTACACAAGGACGTGAACAGTGACACAGGCGGAAGTTCTTAGCTCAGGACAAGAGTGTGGAGAGACAGAACTCTACAGTGATGGGAGGGAATTCCACTGGACTTCTCTTCCACCATTCCTGTACCTCCTGTGCTTACTCTGGTTCACACATTTTTTAAATCTTTACTTATCCTAAAGTTTAGACAAAAATCTCACATCACTGCATCTGGCTGAATTAATAATGAGACATGAAAACAAATAGATATAGGATTCTGCAAAGTGCAGCTGCTGGAGACAGGGTCAGTAACGTGAACAGAAGCTCTCCATACTGGCTTCTAGAACCACTGGGCATGGGAAAGAATCAAAAGTATACCCTTCATTTCAGGTCAAGCTATTTCATAAAGTTCTTAACAATTAGGAATCTCTTCCAGATTCCAGAGGAACCTCAAAAAAAAAAGAACAAGAGATACACCAGATATGGTGGCATATGCCTATAATCTCAGCAACTCGGGAGGCTGAAGCAGAAGCATCACAATTTCAAGGCCAGCCTCAGCAACTTAGCGAGGCCCTAAGCAACTTGAAAGACTCTATCTCAAAATAAAAAGTAAAAAGTCTGGGGATGTGGCATAGTGGTTAAGCACACCTGTCTTCAATCCCCAGTCAAAAAAAAAAAAAAAGAAAGAAAGGGAGGACACAACAGGTGTGGGGGGTTTATCTCAAGCTGGGAAAGAGCTACGGAGGGTCACAGACAATTTACGCAAAGGCTCAAACAGACTTCCCTAATCTTCAGGGTGGGAACTCAGGAGTGCTGAATCCCTTATGAATCCCCAGAGCCCATAAGAACCTAGTCACTGTCTGACCCACTTTGCTGTCTACAGGGCTAGCAGGCTCAGACCCAAAATCTCCTTGGACCCTCTACCCACCCCAGGACTGCCTGTGTTGGACAGGAAAGGGAGAAGCAGAGAGCAAAGCATGCGGGGCTGACTCACAGAGGTCCGTACCAAACTGAGAATGTCTGCTCGTAGCCTCCATCATAGCCTGGTTCCCAGGACACGTTGGCAGTTGTCATGGAGACCTGGACCCGGACACTGCCCGGGGCATGGGGGCTGGTGCCTGGAGACCAAGGGAGACCTCTCAGACTGAAAGGAGCTGAACCCATTTGCTGGGCACCCATAATCTTGCTGCAGGGAACTCAAGAGAGACCAAAGTATAGAGTACCAACATGCGATACCTCAAATGGTTGAAGACAAGTGGAATCTCTGAGGTGCTGCCACCCACCCCCCCGACCCTACCAATATCAGATAGAGAAGCCTATCTCACCATGCAGTCTAGTCTCACTAGCAAGAGGCCACCTGAACTTTAAGAGTACAGAACTAAGGGTAATCTGAACCTTCTTCAACCCAGGCCAAACTCCTGTGCTCCTCTGAGGTCCTGAGCAAACAAAAAGTGTCACTTCCTATAAAGAGTCACCTTACATCCAAACACTGGTGTGAGACAACCCAACATGGCAGGTAATACAGCAACTCAGGTCTGAATCCTGGTCCCACCTGTTATATGACACTGATCAATGTGCTAAGTCCACACCAGTCTCATTCTAATGTAACCTGGGGATTCATCAGCTCCCACCTCCCAGGTTGTAAATGACTAGGTATGCAGACCAGTTGGTTCAGAGCGCAACACTGAAGGTGAATGCTCAGAGACAGTTAGCCATAGTTATGATTATGGCTCAGAACCCAGTGGAACAGACAGGCTACAAGGAGACAGGCTGAGGTTGGGGATGCACACCATAGGCAATCAGACCCAGAAATGCCTGCAAATAGGAATACCAGTCACTTTCTCCTGCACCAGTCTCCTATGCCAGCTGAGCACTCAGGCCTCAGCTTGTTTCCCTGTCCAACATGCCACATGGCCCAACTGTCCCTCATTTCAGTTCTACCAGCTTTCCCACAGCTCTTTAAATTCCAAGTCTCCAGTGTCCCTGTTGACCACACAGCTGCATTTTTTTTATCAGGTGGGTTTCTAGGTACATTTATTTGCCTGTCCTTCCCAAGAACTAGACTCATGTGGACCTTCATTTACAGAGCCTGCAGAGGACAAAGGCTCTGGGGTCAAGGATGGACTGACCTAAGAAGGATAGCTGCAGAGCATGAATAGTAGAATGCCCCTTTGGTGTCCAATGCCCAGACCCAACTCTGCCCTACCACCCACCCCGCCCAGCCCACTGTTCACATACCAATGACAGTGAGGTGGGTGCTGGCAGTGATGCTTGTGACCACATTAGTGGCAACACATTCCCATTCCCCGTGGTCCTCCTTACTCAGAGCACGAAATTGGAGACTCCCGCTGGGCAGGGCACTGTGCTTGCTTCTGCTGGGCTTCCCTACCTTGGCCAAACAAGAGGACAAGGAAAACATGGGAGCAGAGACCAAGGTTAGGAAAGGAGCAGACAATAGCTCAAGAGTCTGAGGAGGATAAGGATGTTGAAGGACAATCCCCAGGCCCTTGGGAACCACACCCTCCCACTGTTCCTTCTCAGATCACCCACTGATCTACATCCCCCTTAACATCCGGCTTGACATCTGACCCATGAGAGTGGGTCCAGAGCAGATCTGGTCACTGGGTTCTCCCACCTACACCACAGCCCAGGAGATCAAGAGCCCAGGTACCTTTCTCCAAGTGATGACAGGGAAGGGGTCCCCTGCAGCTGCACAGGGGATGAGCAGCTCCCGGCCAGCCTCCTGCCTATACTCCCAACCTGGTAGCACCGTGAAATACGGGGGATCCTGAGGGAAGCAAAGGCATGAGCGTGAAGTTGGGCTTTCAGGTGCCCCCCACTCATGAAGCCACATGCAGCCCTAGAGTCTCACCTTCAGGACAAGCCGTGCAGGTGCAGACTGGCCCATGGTCCCCAAGGTATTGTAAGGCACACAGGTGTAAGTGCCAAGAGCCTCTTCTGTGGCCTCCTCAATTCGGATAGAGCCATCCTCCATCAAGGTCCAACCCAGGTTCTGCCAGAGACAGACAAGAGCAGAGAACAGTGGTCAGGGAGCGGATGCCCTGACCCACCACTCCAGACAGAGCACAGGACAGAACAGCAGCTACAGCCTAGGGCAGGCGCCACCTAGGTGCCCTGGGAAAACAGCCAAACCTCTGTGGGACTTTTTTTTTTTTTTTAATCTTTTTTTTTTTTTTTTAGAGATGGAGGAGCTCTGGCAGAGAACCAGAACCCAGAGCTAGCAAAGGGATCAGAAAGGCACTTCTCATTCTGAATGCCAACAAGCATCTCACTCGCACCTTCTCCACCTGCAGGGGGCGGCCGTCCTTGTTCCACTTCACCACGGTGGCTGGTGGCTCTGCATCCACAGGGCAGCGGATATAGCCATGGATTCCCACGGGCACATAAATTACAGGGGGCATGTTGAGGACACGGGCTGGGTCTGCAAAGGGGTAGTGTGGGTGGGAGAGAAGAGCTCTATGAGAAAAGCCAGATGAGAAATCTAGGCAGGAGATGAGCCAGGACACAAAAGGCACTGTGCTTGCAAGGCACACCGTCATATCTATCCAGCAGTCAGCAAATACTTACCACATGGCTCCTCAGTGCTCAACACAGCATTATGGGCCAGGGCCACAATGGTTAATGGGGGCCAATAAACCTAGCTCTCTGGAAATTCTGGCCCAGGGGGCACACATAGCCAGCCAGGTCAGGCTGCAGACTTTTGTCTGCCACATCTACCATGTTTTTAAGAACTTTAAGCATTTTTAAAGAATGCTTGGTGGCATTTAAAGGCCCCAGTTTTCAGTTCTCCTAAATTCCTCAATTCACAGATATTCTCCATGTCCAATTCCCTCAGCCCCTAAATTCTGAACCTCAAAGCCAACAGTGGCCATGTCTTTCCCCTATAGTTCTTTATCCCAAGGTCTCTCTTGAGCAGCAAGCAGTTGGCTCTCTCTGCACATCCTGAGCCAACATAGCAACTTCAGTTCTAGGCATGAGGCTATCATGGTGTAATCACAGTGGGTCCTTTTTCTCCTCTCTATTCCTTCTGCTGGTTGTTCAGCTCCCTCTGCCTCTGTTTTGTCATTGGCCTCTGCAGTTGAAATGCAGAATCAACCCTGGCCACAGCAGATGAAAGGCTCTGAGACAGAAGATAATGGCCCTGGATCCCTGTGATGCAGCTGAGTCACCTCCGTTCATTTCTCCCCAGTCCCTCCAAGGGTTATGGAGAAGGATCCAGAACTAGGGAGGCTGTGAGGATGAATGAGCTGGTAACTTTTAAGCATTTGAGCTCTTCAGAGAACAGCATTACATAAATACCAGGCCAAGTTATATATTTAGACATAGCTTCCTACTTTTGTATGATAGAGTCTTTTTTTTTTTTTCCTTCAAGGTTTTCAAAGGGTTTATGAATGGGAAATACTCTGAACACTGATCTTCAGCAGAAATAAAGATCCTCTCACCCACCTGTAAATCTCAGCCCCCTGGATTCTCTTTGAAGGCAGGAAGGAGGTAAAAAAGGACAAGTGGGAGTGGGTGGTGGTGCCGGCGCTGGGGAGAGATGGGGAAACCAAACACTTCTCCCAGCAGAAAGATGGCCTACATCTTCCAGCATGGAATCTGCATCCTAATTAGGGTCATCATCCTTCTGAAGACCACCCCTTTTCACACCCCTGTCCACCACAGTCATTGCCATCTTCTTGTTCAGGTGGCACACCTGCATACAGCCCAGAGGGATAGGAGACATCTATGAGATGGAGTCTGCTCCTTCCTTCAGGATCTTCAGCTTCTGGACAACTTGGACATATCCCAAGTCACTTAGGAGCAATTTCTTCACCTACTAGTCAGGTTTTCACCCAATGTTCTGGGTGTCACAGCACTTTAAAGCTTGGAACTTATACTATACCATGCTACAAGTCCTTTCAAGTTGCTGTCAGTAAAACTGGAGAACAGAGACCTTTGCCATCCCACGTAGTCATTCCACAGAGATGAGAAGATGATACAAGTCTGAGGTGAGGGGTTCAATGAGGCTCAGTATTCCATCTTGGCTCCACTACCTTGGCCACTCAAGGGCAATTGTGTCCCAAACACTCAGCTTGGTGCAGCAGAGTTGGAGGAGTTCTACCTCTTCGGGCCACAACTATTCCTCTACTTCTCTTCAGCTCCTAGGCTGACTAGGGGCCAGCCTGTCTCCAGACTGCTATACTTCTCACTCCTGCCACTCTGTGCCTTGGGTGTATGCGATTCTCCCATACCAGCCCTCCAATGATGAAGTGTCTGTCACCTACAGCAACATTGTGGAGCCTTTGCTGTCTGAGTGATGGGGCTATCCACAAATCAAAAGCAGGATATTAATCCTCATTACTCATCCTTCTTTCTCTGTCTTTCTCACAATGCTCAGCTTGCCAGGGGGTGGGAAAGCAACCAAAGACACTCAAGTATTAAAGATTAGCAAACTGAATTGTTGTGCTCACACAGAGGGCCTCAATCGTTCTGGCACAAGAATGAGGCTCATTCATTTGGGATCTCTACAGCCCTGGAAAGGAGCAAGGAGGCAGACACAGGGAGCCAGGCATGGCAAATGGACCAACCTATTCCAGAAGAGGGTCCTCTTCCCCTCACCCCAGGTTTGGCCATAATGTGGAAAGACAGAGTGAGGCTGGCAGAAAAACTAACCCTGTACTGGTTCTAAGCTGTGCTCCCTTAAAAACCTGAGAGAAAAATCAACCAACAGTGACTGGTTCAAGGTATAGAATTCAATGCCAGAACAACTATTCTGAAGGGAAATTGTTCAAAGAGAAGTTCAGATTATCCTTGAACCAGACCTATGCTTGGCTGATGCAATGAATTAATGATCACATAGTGATGCCTGACCCATAGAAGATGCCTAGCAAGAGTTAGCCCTGTCCTGGTTTGTTCTTTCCTCCATCCACACTCCCCTGAAAGCTGCTTAGTCTTAGCTATCCTCCAGCCTCCAATCTGGGTAATGTGGCTTGAATCTTTTGGAACACCCACAAATGCTCTCCCTCACCCCTACTCACACTGCACAGTCAGGTAAGCCGAGGCAGAGGGGGAGCGCCCCAGGCTGTTGCTAGGAACGCAGGTGTACTTCCCAGCATCCTCTGGCTTCACCCGGAAGATGATCAGCGTCCCATCAATTAGGATGCGCACCCTCAGCTTCAGGTCGCTGCAAAGCCAGCAAGGAAACAAGGAGGCGAGTGCTATTGGTAGGTAGGAGAAGAGGATCTCATAGCAAACACTCAAGCAAGGGTTGCCTTCACCTCCCCTAGGTGCAGCAAGGAGACCCACTATTCCTGTCACTCTTGAGTCCCTCTCTCATGGTCCTTTCATGCAAAGACTGGCCTGAGTATGTGAGACACAAGACCCAGACTTTCCACTTTCCCCCCTTCTGCAAGTCTCTGGAGCCCACAGGCAGCCTGCAAAGCCCATGTTTAGAGCCCCTTCCCCCTGCTGATCTGGGAAACCCCTGTGAGCTGCTCACTTCTGGAAGTAGACATTCTCATCCTGCCAGTACCAGGTGTAGGTGAGATTGCCGGGATACGCCTCTGCCCTGCAGGTGAGCAGAGCATCCTGGGAGATGTTGACGGTGATGTTCTCAGGAGGGGAAACAATAAAAGGAGGCCCTAGAGAGAACAGGAAACAAACATCACCTCCTGATGGGGCAGAGCAATGACACCAAGCCTCCCAGGAAGGTCTGAGGTGGTCAGGGAGGAGCACTATGGGCAGTACAGCCTGAATAGTTGTCACAAAGACTTCTAGCCACTACAGGCTCAAACATCCTCCCTCTACCCCACCCTCATGTTCCCAGACCAGCCATCTATCCACCCCACACACAAACCCTTCCTGCAAAGCTTGAATAGGAGACATGCAGGAGGGAAGAAGTCTGGTTTATAAAAATCTGCAGTAAAGAATAATCTTGTTTCTGGAGGAGACAGAGCCTTGTGACTGCTTAGTTGCCAGAGGTAAAGATGGCAACTCAGCAGAGAAGAGGCTGGGGGCTGAAGGGAGAGTGAAATTCCAGCAGTTCCTGGTACTTTCTGTGGGAAAGAGAGGCAGAGCTGCAGCCAGCTCTTTCCTGAGAGGGGCAGCTTCCAGCCAAGCTATAGAGGGACCTCTGGCCCTGGCTGCTGCTCAACCCTTAGGACAGAAGGAGCAAATACTATTGTAGCCACTCTCTCAGCCAGACACAGCTGCCACCAACTCTCCCTATCCCTCCAGCAGGTGGTAGGTGGAGAGGCAAAAACCTCTCCACAGGATTCCACACATTCTGGGCAGTGAGTATCCAACCCTTCTGGGGCACTCCTGGGACCAAGGCTGGACAGAGTGGCATCTCTCGGTGCTGACTGTACAGACCCAGCTCTGCCAAATGCTCTTGGTGTTGTTTAAATGTCTGGGGCTTGGATCAAATCCTTATCTTTATTTATTGATGCCATCACTAATGGATAGATAACCCAAGGGAGGTCTCCTCTTTTGAGGAGGTGCAGGCATGGTAGAGATGCTATCCAGACAGAGGAAAACCAGAAATCCACTTAGCACAGTGCTTCCCTGCTACACTGTGTGATGCTCTTTCCCAGGCAGGCCAGGATGAAAGATGCAACCAGTGAGCTATGTGTGATACAGGAGCCTTTGTCCAGCTTTTGTGGTCTGCCCGTATCTCCACCACCCCCAGCTATGAAACCTATAGCCCAGGAAAATACCACTGTAGCTCAGCAGGGTTGGGCATCCCCTGCAAGAGCTCAGGAGGAAAAGAGGAAATAGTCCATCTACCTTGTACCAGCAGGTGGGTTGTGTGCATAGCCTCCCCCTGGATACTGTATGCTCGACAGGTATAGGCGCCTCTGTCCTCACGACTGACTGATGTCACCGTCAGGCTGCCGTCACTCACCTAGGGGTGGAGAACAAACACAGTTCACACCCACCTCTGGGCCCCACAAATGTAGCCCTCAGGCTGAGAGATACAGGCAAAGAAGCTGGACTGGAGAAGGTCCCAGGAACACATGCATCAGGGGATCCAGAGAGTAGGTGCCTCCTTATCTATCTGTCTCCCTCCAAGACACCCAGAGGGGATGCCTGCAGCCAGGCCAGGCTGTGGGCTTTTCTGCCTCCACCTTCTACCTGCACAGTAGTGTCAATAGTCATCTGCCTTGCGGGGGAGAGAAGGGTAGGGAGGGAGGGTGAAGAAGAGTGACTACAGCAGTCCCAGCCTATAGCCACGCTCACCTGGTACTTCCCACTAGCACCGAGGAGCGTTCCCTCCTTGAGCCAGGTGACGATGGGCTTGGGGTTCCCAAAAGCTGTGCAGGTCATGGTAATACTGCCACCCTCCTTGGCCTCGATGTACTGGGGGGGTGTTTCTGTAAAGGTGGGAGGGGCTGCAAAGGAGACCACGAAGGTGAGGAATGGAACCAGCCCACCCATACAGAACTCTCATTGCAACTCAGCAGAACAATGAAAGTGGAGATGGGGAAAGTCCTGCCCAGGGATATCATAGGGAAGGGGAGATGTGGGATCCAATCTCAGTCTGGCTCTAAGGATAGCCCCAGTTTCTGAATACCAGCCCTAAAGCAAGCCACTCTGAGCACCTCTAAAGGCACCCAAAGCTCAGGATCCAAATTCTATGATTTATCTACCAAACTTAAATACTTCCCAGTAAAATATTTATTGAGCATCTACTACAGGGAAGCTGCCATAGTCAGCACTAGGTAAATAACATACACAAGACAGCTCTCTAAGTTCCCAAAATTTTCTACCACCTTTCAGTGTTTCCACTCAGGATTATCGTGATGCATAGGAACTATACTTCCTGCATTCCAGCTCAGCCAGGACCTCATATTTCTAGGACATTTGCCATCTGAGCCCCATCCAGACCTAAAACAGATCCCAGGCCAAGGCTAATTTAAAAATAATCTTAAATTCCCAGATTCTGCAGAGAAAAGTATCTATCTGCCTCCCTATCTGGCTTCCATAGGTAAAGGTGAACAGCTCCCTCTGCAGGTTACTCCCTCCATAACTGTCCTCTGATTATGCCAGATTATCTTTCCCCTGCATTGAAATGTGACTAAAACTCCATCCTGTTTGTATAATCAACTTTTAAGAGACGCAGTCCCATCACCTGAGCTGCTTATAGAAGTCATCCAGTAAATCTTAAACCCTTAGACTATTGGTTCTAGGATGTTCCAAAATGGCAAGATAGGGATGGCCCCAATTTCTGAATACCAGCCCTAAAGCAAGCCACTCTGAGCACCTCTAAAGGCACCCAAAGCCCAGGATCCAAATTCAACTGCTGGCCTGCCACTTGCTATAACCTTGGTTCCTCAACCTCTCTGGGCTTTACCTAAAACCTCCACCCTCTGGAATTGATGTGAGGAATAAATGAGATCATGTTTGTGAAAAGGATCTTATAAAATACAAACGTATTTTTTAAATAGTTATTCTGCTATTACTTCCATACTTATCATTTCCCTGAGAGCTACTGAAGCTACTGAGCTTTCAGGGGCTCCCTCTCATCCACACAGCCCTGAACTTAGAACTCATCACAAGAGTTTAGAATTTGGTCCTGACCAGCCCCAACCTCTTCTCCTAAAACATTCATCCCCTCCTGTGCTTTAGACACATCACTTTCTTAGTCTTCCCCAAATGTGGCAAGAACTTCCAACTTCAGGGTCTTATGTATTTGAGGTCCTCTCTAGAACTCTATACCCATATCTCACTCCTCCTGTTCATACAAGTCTGTTGAATGCTACCTCTGCCTTACCTAATCAGTCCATTTCAGATAGTACTTCTAGAATTCCCTGCTCCCTTGCACTGTTCTATTTCTGTTAAGGAACTTATCAGAACTAACATCTATATATATATATATATATATATATATATATATATATATATGTGTGTGTGTGTGTGTGTGTGTGTGTGTGTTTTGTTCTTTTTTTGTGGTACTGCAGTTGAATCCAAGGCCTTATACATGGTAAGCAAGCACTCTACAACTGAGCTACATTCCCAAGTTCAAATACATGTATTTGCTTACATGTTTCTTATAAGTCCCAATTTTGGGGAATAGTGGCTCCCTGAAAACAGACACCTTTTCTGCAGTCCCACTGAATGTCTAGCTTTTAACACCATTTCTGGATGAAACAAGGTTCTTAGCAAATATTTGTTGAATGAAAGAATAAGTAAAATGAATGAACAAATGAATGAAGGTTTCTTCCAACATAAATTTAAATACATAAAACTTCTTAAGAGCAAGACCATGGAAAGATCACCTTGGTCTATAATCTTCAAAGCCCCATGGCTCAATGTAGAGACACAGGAGGCATTTGAAGAGGGATGATGGAATGTATTAAGAAGCATACTTGCTGGGCATGGTGGTGCACATCTATAATCCCACAGGTTCAGGAGGCTGAGGCAGGAGGATCGTGAGTTCAAAGCCAGCCTCAGCATAAGCAAGGCACTAAGCAACTCAGTGAAACCTTGTCTCTAAATAAAATGCAAAACAGGGCTGGGGGTGTGACTCAATGGTCGCATGTCCCTGAGTTCAATCCCTGGAACTGCACCCCCCCCCAAAAAAAAAAAAAGACAAGAAGCACACATCATCACAATCAAAAGCATACATAATATATATTCTTGAGAAAATCAATTGTCAGCCAGCATTTAAGAATATAATAGACTAATGGCAAAAAAAATCATTTCAAATCCTTGTAAAGGGATTCTGGAGTCCTAGCCCCTAGGCCCCAGGAACATGTGCTCATCTCCAACAGAGCCATCCTCACCCAACCTGCTCCCTGAAATACAGTTAATACAGCCATAGCCTCTGTTACTTCTGGTCTCAAGCTTAAAAGAAAAGATAATAAATTAAACTACGTCCTGAAGTGACAAATTAATTACTAATTACATAATTACTTTATTATTTAGGTGCTAATCAGGAAAGTACTTTGAACAATTTCGAGTTTTCAGGAAAATAATGGTTTGACTCTCGATTATTTACTGAATTAGGTGTTAGCTTGCCAGCTGCATTTCCAAGCTTAATTCTTTTTGCAAGTGCCCTATAATTAATAGTGCAGGTTAGAAACAGGCTGGCCTCTCCTCCAAGTAATTTGCCAACCTAAAGCAAGACTTGGCTTGAGCTTTTGGGGTATTTTATATATGATAAAGAAATAACTGGGTTTGTTTCCACCCAACTGGTCTTCAAAGAAAGCACAGAAGGGGAATGAGACAATTTGTAATTCTAATTTTTCACTGGCCTTTCAATTTCTCAAGGTGATCCTGTTTAAAATTTAAAAAAAAAAAAAAAAAATGCCTGACATTAAACCTTCTAGTTTAGAAGAAATAGAATGCTAGCACTTAGACTGTTCCATAATACAAATATTTATGATGGGAGGAACCTCAGAATTCAGTTAAGAAGGGAAAGGGGGAATAAGAGGAGAGAGATCTTTCTCTGCTATTGGGAGGCATCTGTTCTGTTCTGCCCATTTCACAGATAAGCTTCTTGGTTATAGCAAACTGTTCTATCATTAAGCCCCGGTTCTCAAGCGTGGAGCAGATGGTGTACCATGCTTGGCGTTCCTGCCCAGTGCTTCCATATGAACAACCAGCCTGCACTCCCTGAATGAGGAGAGCCACTTTCCTCACTCAAGGGTTCCAGACATGCTGCTCCTTCTTCCTGGAGTTGCCTTCCCAACCTCCCATCTGCTCCTGGCTGATGCTTCTCACCAGCCAAGCCTCTGAACAGAGGCTATTTCTTCAAAGAAGCTGTCCCTCCTATGTGCTCCCAAAGCCACATGGCAATCATCTCTGGACTTGACTGTCTCTAGAGTTTGAAGGATATTCAAAGCCAGAATTGGGTCATGCCCCTTGCCATATACCTGGAGCCTGCCATAAACTGGACACTCAAAAAGAAGTTTTGAATAGATAACTATTAGTGAATTCATGAGAATTTTTAGACTACCAAAGTCCTCTGCATCTTCCAGACTGACATCCTTGCTAACTACACCTTCAACTGGCTTTATCTCTTGAGAAGGAGGGTGGCCAGCATTTTATCCATAACTACCCATATGTAATTAATGTTCCAGACACTGTGCAAGATACTTTCTCACACAGCATTTCATTGAATCCTCACAACAACTGTGCAAATAGACATCGTTTTTTGTTGTTGTTGTTGTTTTCCTCCTGAGGCAACTGAAGCTCAGTGACATAACTTAACTTGTCCACAATAACATAGTTAACACATAGTGAGTTCATGAAATAAACTAAACTCTTTTATGGGTCATGGTCCATGGTTATTCTACTCAGAGCAGTTAGAAACTTCCTAAGAATCAACTCCCACTGGTGCAAACTAAGAAACACATACAATAAAAAAAACATACATTTCCAAACTAGATTCTACTTTCCCACCATGTGTCAACTGAACACCTGGTATCTCAGGTTTCTGAAATGGACACCACCATCCAGAATGATGCAAAAGAAAAGGAGGCAGCAGCTCTAGACAGGTTCCAACCATTTAGGAAAGGGCCCTGGAGAGAAAGGAAATAACGTGGGGACTCTTGGCTTGCTATTCAACCAGAGAAACTTTGAGCAGCAGATTCACCTTCCTAATTATATTTTGCCTGGGCTAATATTAAGATGAGTTTGCATTCACTGCACACACAACAGCTGGCATCAAAATGAAGTGACTCAAAATCTTGCTGGGTGGTAAGGACAAACCATCCAAGATTTAAAATCTGTCTACAATTAGCCTCTTCAGACTGATTGGCAGGAAATAACCACATCTGATGCCTGAGCCAACACTGACCTAGGGCTACCATCTTTAACATTTCCTGTCCTCTGGGCCAACACTCTTGATTAAATACTCTGTTCTAGGGCTGGGGCTATAACTCAGTGGTAGAATGCTTGTCTGGCATGCACAAAACTGGGTTTGATCCCCAGCCTGGGAAAAAATGAATAAATAGAGAGATAGATAGATAGATAGATAGATAGATAGATAGATAGATAGCAGGCTTTGTTCTTCCAAGACCCTGGATAGGTTCTCAGATTCAGAAAGAGTATGGGTCTGATCCAACCCTACTAGGTAGGACAGAGTCATCCTTCAAGGCAGATCAATACTGAGAGAAGCCTCCAAGCCAGGAACAACTCTAATTTCTCTTTTCCAACCACAGCAGCTATAGTATCAGAATCCAAACCAGAAAGACCTACATTGTATGTGGCATATCTAAGCACATGTGCTGTTAAAGCCTCAATAACCAGAGTGGTGTCTACAGTGGATCTGAATACATTTTTGTCATCAGTTGAATAAAGAGGAATAAGCATCTGTCCAAAAGAACAAAGCAAAACAAAAATAAAATATGCCATTCCCTCCCACTCTGAAGACCACTTCTTCTCTATCCTTTCTCTATCCAGAGCATCTGTTCCCAGATAAGAACCCTCAGAGACACAGAGGGTACATTATCCCTCTGAGGAGACCCTGAAGACCCAGCCTCTAGTGACATCACCATCATAGACCCAGGTCCCCAGCCTCAGCCAACACAAAGGAGCTGGGCCAGTTCACTCAAGCTCCCTTGCCCCCATATGGATATTTGAAAAACATCTGTACGCAGCATGATCCATTTAACCTGAGCTATAAATAACTGACAGCCATTAAAATTGTTCCTCTTGCCAGGATTCTTACATTTTATTAGCTGGTAAACTGTGTACAAACAGGGACTGCGTCTGGGTTTCCTTACTGTTATTTACCCATCATCTGGTGCAAGGCTAGGCGCATAATAGACCCTCAATACTTATTACCCAAATAAATATATTTAACAAGAAACCACAGTATCAACCTAAAAACACTAATACTAGACTCCAGGAACTCCACTGGAGAGAGGGAATGCACTCTCTGGGGTAGCACTAATATCCCAAAGCTGGAATGACACTAGTATTAGCCCTCCTGGTTTCCAGAAACAGATTCCCACCTCCCTCTTAGGAACTCTGAGACCACCTTGTACATAGGGAACTGCTGCTTCTATGCACCTCCACTGACCCCAGAGGCTCCAGGAAGACAATGGAGGTAGGCAGAGGAGTGAGCTGAGATCTCATGGGGCCAAGGTTTGTCCAGGCTCCTCTGCAGCAAGAATTGGGGGAAGGGATGGGGTTCCTTCTAGAGCAGGCCCTCAGAGGAGGTCTTCTTGGGCTCTTTCCAGGAAGGGGGCCCATACGCACCGTTGATGGTGAGATGGACCCAGCTGCCGTTGTGGAAGGTGTCATACTGCTGGTCCAGCATGAGCACTTTGCACTCGTACCAGCCCTGATCCTCAGAGCGCACCTGCTCCAACCGCAGGGATGCTTTATCATGAAGACTGGCCCGGCCTGGGGGAACACAGTGGACAAAAGCCCAAGAGGCCATCAGGGCAAGAACAGCAGCTTGCTACCCCCACCCCAAACCAAGCTAAAGACAGGAGACCCATCACAACCTTCAGGTCACTTCCCACAGCAAGGCCCCAAAATGACAGCTGGCACCCATCCCTGCCAGCAGCAGGTGGTAAAGGGAAAGGCATGACACTTGGCCATGGAGCCACTGTCCCTCCCCAGCTGGCCCTGCCCCAGCCTACACTGGCAGTTCAGTGCACTTGGCACTGAGAAAACCTTCATCTCCTTAGAACACACCCATTCTTTTGGAGCTCACTTGAAACAAAAAAAAAAGAAAAGCAGATGGATACAGAGCTGAGAAGAGATGAAAGAGAGAAGGTAAGAATAGAAAAGAATAGGCCAGGGGCATCCAGAAGGTCCCAGTGCATCTCCATTCCAGTTGAGCAATATACCTATCCTAGGCAGGATGCCCAGAACTGCCTCACTCAGCTTCTATCTGTTTCTGCCTTCCCTATGGTAGGGCAGAAGGAAGGCAGGCCAGGAATCAGGACTAGGGGTCCTCCTCATCCTGCTGCCAGAGCCAGAAAAACTACATATCTCAATAAAACCCAGAGACTCCCATAAACCTGAGGACAAGGAAGGGAAGGGTGGGCAAACATAGCAAAAATACTGCAGCCACCCTTCCTTAACTCCATCAGGAGGCAATTCCTGTGATATTCCAAGCACTGAGAAAGTAAGTGTTGTTGCAGGACCCCTTCCTGCACACAAGCAGGAAAAAGCAGCTCTCGGGGTCCCCTTCAGCCCACCTTTACTCCTTTATCCCCACCTCTATCTGTTTTCCTCCTTGTTTGGCACTGGAAATCTGCCTAAAAACAAACTATTAAAACCAAGCCCAGCCAAAAGGAGAGTGAGAGATATTAGCTTAGAAGAAAGAGAGGCAGAAAAAGAAGCCTTCTTAGAGGAAGGCAACTCAGACCTCATAAGCCACAGCAAAGACAAAATAAAAGCAGTGCCCTGCCTGTTTCCTGTCTTCCTCGCAATACCAGCATATGTTCATCCTCACAGACATTCACTCACACTCTCACACACACACACACACACACACACACACCCCACACCCTCCTCCCTGGCAGGCTGGCGGGCAGCGGCAGTGAGTCACAGGGAGGCCACTGCTGACAGAGTAATTGCAGAGCAGGACACAAACAGGGCCAAGGGAAGGGGAGGACAGGTGGCAGAAGAGAGAGAGACTGACACCTGCCAGGGGCACAGATGGGTGGGTAGGCGGGGTCATGGAGATGCACACTACACTTAGGGATGGAAGGCCATCCCAACTTCAGAACCAGGAGGGAGTGAGTGGGCCTAATCAGACTGGAGATTCTGCGGCACACTTGCCTAAGGGTGGGGCAGTCTGACTCCCCTCCTTCCCTGGAGAGGGAGTCCTTGCTTTCTCACAGTGGTGCCTCTCTCTCTAGCTTGCCCTGGGACTTCTGGCCTCTCTCCAAACTCCCAGCTGTGTGGTTTAGGAGGGCTTTAAGTCTGTCTCCTATTTCCTCCCCTCCTGCCACTTAATGAAAATCTATCAGTGGGAAAAGATGGGAGCAAAGAGGCAGAAATGGTGAAAAACAGAGATAATGGATCAGTCAAGACAAAGATAAAAACTGATAGAGACAAAAGCAAAGGCACTTGGGAACTCGTGGGTGACCACTAAGGCCTGGATAGGAGCAGAAAGGTCAAAATGAGAGGAAGATCTTGTCCTCAGGTTTATAGTACCCACTGCGCTCAGGTCCTAAGTCTCCCGAGGGAGCAGCACTCAGTATCCAAACCTTACCTGCATACTCAGGGTCCACGTGGGGCGGGTAGTAGCCAAACTTGATGAAGATAGGAATGGGGACCCCAAACTTGAACCACTCTACAACATAGGGCGGGGGCTGTCCTGTCACCGGGTGGATCACATCGCATCGCAGGACCACGCCCTCGCCAGCTCTTGCAGTCACAAACTCGGGCTCCTCTCGCAGGCCGTGGGCACCTAATGGAGACAACCAAGTTGGGACATGGAAAGGTGACAAAGAGATCCTGCTCCAGCAGTCTTATGCACCCCTTATCAAAGGGTGGCCTCTGCTTCCCTTGTTAAAACCATCCTCCATTCAAATCCTAGGCTTATCCCACCTGCTTTCCCTGAGAGGTCCCAGTATACCCTCCACCTGCTCTCCACCTGTCTATTCGTAGGTCTCTCTGCCCTGGGGGTACCTGGGCATCCACAAAGCTTGGGGCTAAAAGGAAGAAAGGAGAGGGAAGTAATTTTTTCAGTCCTAGAAGCCAGACCTTCCCTCCCCAATTCCAAAGAATAGCAGGCATAATTGTGCCCTGTTCCACTGGGACAACATCCCCCACCCGAATTATAAGGAGCCATAGACATGGAGGTGGAAAGGCCTCAGGGCCTGGGAATGTGAAATAGTCTCCCTGAAGCAAGATACTTCCCACTAGAGCCTGGTAGATGACAGAGCCAGCTCTCCTCCACTGCCCCACCCCCAACTCAGCCTGATGTTCACAGCACTAAACAAGAGTACTCCATACAGGATCAGGGGAATCCCTAACAAGAAAAGCTGAGGCTGCTCATGGCAACACCAGAGGGAAAACCCCACCAGTCTGAGCTGGCTTCTCCAGCCCCTCCTCCTACCAGCACACAGAGCCAGCCCTGCTGCAGAGGGGAGTGGGAGGGGCTGCAGTCCTCCAGTTTCCAAGCCCCAAATCGAGCTGATTCTCACAGAAGCCCCAGACATTACCATTAGGAGAGTAGGATGCTGGGGGCGGAGAAGGGGAACCCTGTGTTGGTCCCTGCCTTTGGCAGAGAACATCAAAAACAGGCAGCTAGATAGGACACACCCATCCTGGCTGGCAGTGGGTGCGGTGGTGGGGGGTGGCAAGGAAGGAAGCAGGAGTGAGAAACCCCCAACCCCACCCAAGCAGCGAAAAGAGTAAACCACAGGAGTACTGTCCATGCCCACAGCACCCACTCCTGGACTCCAAACAGGCATGTGTGCAGCCTACCTCCAGCAGACATTCCTCCCATACCAGGTCTCCTCCATGACCAGACACAGCAAGGCAACTGGCAAGGTCACCTTGTTCAGTACATCCAGTGAAAGGGGCAGCCTTGTCCCCTTCCTCCCCTGTTCTACCCACCACTCCCAAGTTTACCACAGGCTTTCCCCATCCCCAACCCTCCCAGTCCAGTGTGAGCATCTCTACTCTCCAGGGCAGCACCTAGGACAGCAACCGACTGGCTGCAGGCTCAAAGCCAGGAGTCTGTGGGCCCTCCTACCCAGAGAGGATGCCAGAGGAGAGCAGCACTGATCTTTAGATCTTTGTCCACCTAGTTCTGACTGTCTGCATCTCTGACCCCTGTGGGCTCCCACCTCTCTCTGTCATTTATGTCTTTGTGTCTGGCTGCGAGTATGTGTGTGTCCTGTGTCTACCGCTGTCAGTTTTCTCTCTGTCTTTGTCTCCTCTATGTCTCTCTATATATCTCTGTCTCTGTGTCTCCTGTGTCTATTTTTCTCTATCTTCCTCTCTCTTTCTGGCTCTTTCTCTGTATCTCTGTTTCTCTATTCTCTCTCTCCTTCTCTGTGTGTGTCTCTCTCTCTGGTTCTTTATGTTTGTCTTTCCCCACTTCCCATGTCTCTGTATTCCTCTGGATCCTTCTCCACGTCTCTGTCTCTCTGTAAGTCTCTCTGTCTCTTGCTCCCACTCTGTGTGGGTGATTCTGTCTACCTGCCTGCCTTTCTCCCTGTTTCTGTTTCTATTCGTGTGTGTGTGTGTGTGTGTGTGTGTGTGTGTGTGTGTGGAACAAGGGTCCAAGATTTCTACTGGCTTGTGGGAGGGGAAGGGGTTTTGCTTGACTCGGGGGAGGGGGTCTCTATGTTCATGTGTGCTTCTGTGAATTTCCGTGTGTCTGTCTGTATGTCGTCTGTGTGAGTGTCTCATTCTTCTCCCTCCCCCTCCTCTCGACTTGCGGAAGGAAGAGGAGGAGGAGGAGGCAAGCCCTCCCAGAAGCTGATTGGCTCCCGGTGACATCACTGTTTTCTAGAGAAAGAGCTAAGATCACAGAGTATTTTTGGAGCAAAGCAGAGTGTTGCACTCACCTGCCCGAGGCCCCAGCAGGTTTCCCAACTCCCCCTCCCCCAAACTTGCTTCAGGCTAGGTTTGCAGCAAGGTCCCTTAGGGAAAGGAGAGAGCCCAGCTGCAGCTGGCGCCTCGCCCACACCCCCAGAGGCACCTGGGTAGGGGAGCCTGCCTACTGCATCTGCACAAAGGCCAAGGCTGGACCAAGAGGAACGGGTGAACATTGAACAGCAGCACCTGAGCAAGCAGGAGAAGCAGCACGTGTGCATGTATGTGCACATTTGTATGAGCATACATATGCACACACATATGTGCATATGCACACTCAACAACTGAGTATCCACAGCACAGATGAAGAAACAAACCACAGGAACCTGGTGGTAGGGAAGGGAGTTATTCCCAGGAGCCGGGGTACCTGGGAAAGATAGAGTGAGGGGTTTCTTTGGCCCTAGAATCTAAGCAGGAGAACAGAGGTAGGGGAACAGCTGAGCACTTCTAACAGTGAAACTGCTCTGGAGAGCTGGCTGCTGGGGTTTAAGGCTGTGGGGGGGGGCAATACCAAGAGGCAGGTGGGCTTTGACATGGCTTCCCACAGTGCCAGCTGCTCATTTGCACCTAGCCCTGCCTTATTCTCACTGCATGGAAATGAAGCAGCCTCCTTCACGCCTAACTTCCAGGGTATTGGTGAAGGTTCCAGGTTGCCACCTCCAGTCCCAGCCAGCCCCTAAGCTTAGCACCAAGCCCCCAGCATAAGGCCCACCCACAAAGCAGTTGGCCTCAGTCACCTAGCATCTCCTCTGGAGGAACTTTTCAACCACAGAGAAGCAGCTACAGAGATGACACATCCCAAAGATGACACAACAAAATGAGAAGGATTTCTCCAAAAGAAAGCAGGGGGTTGCAGGGGTTGTGGCTTAGTGGCATAGCATCTGCCTAGCATGTGTGAGGCACTGGGTTCGATCCTCAGCACCACATAAAAATAAATAAATAAAATAAAGGCATTCTGTCCATCTACAGCTATGTAAAAAAAAAAGAAAAGAAAAAACAAAGCCTCCACTCTCAGCCTAAGGCCTCCAGGTTTTCTGGATCCTAAAATATTCATCTGCTTTTCTTATTTTCCTACACACACACACACACACACACACACACAGTTGCACAAGCACAGATCATGTTCTCTCACCCCATCACCCACAAGTGCTTCTCCCTAAGCCTGATCCTTTCTGCACAAGAGTGTGTCTAATACAACACTCTTTCCAGAAATGCTGAGAGAGAGAGAGAAAGAGAGAGAGAGAGAGAGAGAGAGAGAATCAGGCTGGCAGTAAAGAGAGAAGAGGGGCTTAATGGAGGAGACACAAAAAGCTCAAACACAGGAGGAAACCAAACCCAAAGCCAGGAGTGAAAGAGATACAGAAGCAAGGAGGGAGGGAGGCCCATCCTACTAGCCAGACACAGGCCAAGCCCAACCAGGAGATAGCTCAGGGGTACAATACAACAAAAAGGAACACAGGGATACAAAGACACAGACCCTCAGAGCACCCCAGAATGAGGGGGATACAAAACTAAGCCTGGGCATCCAGGCAGGTCTTCTTTATCAGCAGGGCCAGCTGGAGTGAAGAAAAGACAGAGGAAGGGAAAGCAGAGGGAAGAGAAGGGAAAATGCTTGAGGACAGGGGCAGCAGGAGGGGACCCTAACCCCTCCCCTTCACAGCAGCTAGTAAGGGGCCCAGAGAAGCCAAGCTTATCCATCCAGAGAGGAAACTGGCCTTGGCAGAAGGTGAGCACATTAAGAAAAAGGCTATGAAGAGCCACAGGTCACATATACCCGTTATCCAGAAGGCAGAAAGCTAGACACCCTGAGCCTAGCCAATCTGCATCTTGGGGGGCTGCCCAGCCCACCTTGGAGCTCTGCCACTCTGGCAGGGAAGAAAAGGAGGGGCAAGCAGGGATTTTGAGGTGGCTCCCCATGGGCTGGCTGACCTTTCAAAAAGCCCATAGGATACAAATCTCCCACTCCCTGGGCCAGGTGGTACCCAGTGGGTGACAGTCCAGGGCTGCCAGCAGACCCCCACTGAAGGCACAGAACAACAAGGTGTCCAGGGCCTGACATGGCTGCACATCCAACTCTAAAGCCTGGAGCTGGGTAAGAAGGGTCCTGAGTCTTGGAAACAATCTAAATTATAGGGGAAGAGATAAGAGCAAGGCAGAGAAAGCCTCAGCAGGCAAAACTCTACTACCTACCAGGCTCTGTGAAATCGATCTCACTGAACAGCCTCAATGGCCACCTTGCCACGAATACTATTTTCTCTGTTGTGCAAATGGTGAGGCTATGTGCCTACCCCAAAGTTATGCAGGTGGCAAAATCCGGATTCGCACTCTATGCCACCCTCCTGCCCCAACCACAGACCTAGAAAACCAAGCCCTCTCTTTTACAGCCCCACCCCTTCATTGTGGCACAGAGTTTAGTCACTCTCACCCCATACTCTGGACAGGTTCTGGGAGTCCAGATTCTACAGCCCAGGAGGACCCAAGAAGGATTACTGGGCAGGGGTCTCAGAAGGTAGCTGGACCATCTCTGACCCTCCATAGCATGAATGTAATTCTGTCTGAGAACCTGGAGCCCCTGCCTAAGTCTGGTGGTAGCTGAGGGAGGGAAGGGACGCGGGCTGAGCATCAGCCTCCAAGGCTCATTAATCCTTGTTGCAGCCTCCTCCTCTTCCTCCTCCTCTGGGCACCAGACTCTCAAACCACAGGCCTGTTGTCTAATAATACCAGCGACAGCCACCGCCACCTCCATCTGCCAGTCTAAAAATAATCCCTGCTGAGTCCAAAAAAGGCGCAGCCCCCAATAGTCCCCCAATCCCTCCTCCTCAACAAGCCAGGAGGCTCCAGGAGATTCCAGGAAGCAGG